TGATGAAGAACGTGAACCAGTGATGTTGTTGACAACAATCTTACTTTGTCCTACAAGTTTGTTCATTTTGCCTGCTGTGTTCTTTTCTCATTTCCTGTTTTATACTTGACTTTCTTACTCATGAGTTCAGATGTTTCATTGAGTCAGGTCTGTGATCATTAGTTCAGTTGTGATCAAAAAACAGCTTCTGCTCTGACAAACTGTAAACTGTTTATATTCCTTTTTTCCAGCTTTTTTTCATCTTGACAAAGATCTGACATTTAGAAATAAATCCATAAACCTGTCAGTGATTGAGTTTACGTATAAATAATAATTTAGAAAATGTTCATTTTCAACAGATATCATGCAGCTCTCTTGCAAAGTAGGAACATGGGAAGTGGTCGAATACATGGTATATTTTATCTGTGGTTTGTTAGTTCATGTGCCACTGTGAGTTTCTGATCGTTATCTGCATAATCTGAATTAACAACCTGTGACATAATTCACATTGGATTAAAATGAACCGAGTATGGACCTTATTGTAGGTGAGTGACAATTGGTGTCTGAGGCCCCCTCCTCTGTTCAACGATGGTCTTTCCAGTTTGACATGGATGGATTTCTTCACCCTCTCTCAAACCATCTGTACTCTCTGGCTAGAATGCACCTTTTGATCATCAAAGGAGTGGTCCTTCTCCTTCAGATGGACGGGGACTGCTGAGTCCTAGCCTGATGTTGTGGCCCTCCCGTGTTGAGCCATACGCTTGTGTAATAGTTGTTTTGGTTCCCCAATGTACAGGTCAGAGCATTCGTCATTGCAAATGTCCATGTCAAACTGGAAACGCCATATTTGAACAGAGGAGGGCGCCCCAGACACCAATTATCACTCACCTACAATGCTGTCCTTAGTTCTCTCTCCAAAAAGTACTCCATTTAGGTAACACCAACGACCCTCACCCAGAGGACAGGGAGGGGGAACGGTCCATCATGGGGCCAAGGACTCACATGACCATTTAAAGGTCATATTGTTCGGGCCCTTGGTCACTTTATTCACCACCACAAACCGCTTTGGGGTGGATAGATAAAATACCTGGAAACTTCCCACCAGGGAGTTACTTCTTTGAGGTTAGTCCGGTTGCCTACTTTTAAAACTGCTTTTGAGATTGTTTCCTGTGGGTGCTAAACGCAATAAATATATAAGGTGTATGTCAATAAAGTGGCCATTATCAGTGAATAAAGAACTATTGCTGTACATAGAAGTTTTATAGCAGTATATTGAACTGTCTGATGGCTGATGTGAGGAAAGACTTCCGTTCTGTACTGAGGTATACAGAGGAACAAACTCCTGCTGCGTGCGGCTCCTGGTGGACAAACTACTAACGTACCTGGCGATGTCTATATTAAATACTAACATAAACTTTTTATTTAGAGTGGAGAAAGGGATGAAGACAAAAAATACAAGATCTTTATTAAGTAAATTTAGATAATAATTGAATCTCTAATAACCACTAGTGTCACCAACACCAGCATATTGCCCCCCGAAAACAACCCAACATCTCAGGATACACCTCGTTTTGTTTTTATCGTACAGTTAGACAGTGTGCTGTAGTGATGTGTCGTTCGCGAGTGATTTCATATGAGTCGTGACTCCCGAGTCATATGAAAGATTCATGACTCGTGACTACCGAGTCATATTAAATATTTATTCATATTGAACTCACAAATCACTTACTGCGAACTAATCACTCACTGCGAACAAATCACTCTCTGCTAACTAATCTTTTACTGTGAACTAATCTATCATTGCAAACTAATCACTCTCTATGAACTAATCTTTCGCTGTGAACTAATCTTTCATTGCAAACGAATCACTGTGAACTAATCTTTCGCCGTGAACTAATCTTTCCCCGTGAACTAATCTTTGGATGTGAACTAATCTTTTGCTGTGAACGAATCACTCTCTGTGAACTAATCTTTCGCCGTGAACTAATATTTTTGCTGTGAACTAATCACTATGAACGGATCATTCTCTGTGAACTAATCTTTTGCCTCGTTCTCGCAGATTCGTTTCATTTGTCACGTGAAAGAGCTCGGGTCTTTTTTTGCTCTCATTAATCTTCACATTGTGGTGTGTTTTTATTTCTTAGCTTTTCGCATAGTTTTAATTACTTATGGCATTTTGTGTACTTTGTAGACTTTGTCAGCGGAAGAAAACCATGTTGCCTTATTTAGTGTCGGAGAACCGCAGCCTTCTTTGCAACGCCCACAATAGGGCTAAAGCGCCACCTGCTGTAAAATGAATGAAATGATTCGTTCAAGATTCGCTCACGACTCGTTCATTTTACTGTTCGAGAGTCAAAGTTTCGAATCAATAAAAAGAGTCGGTCTTCCCATCACTAGTGTGCTGTCTTTCATCCCATTCAAGGTAGCATTGTGGATGTCATTTACACCGTCCAGCCTGTAGATGGTGACGTGCAGCTTCTAACTGATGTTAGTTGCCCTAAAAGAAGAACACGGGCACGGTAGGAGCATGATCAGCTGGAGACTGTTTGTACTCTCAACTCCCTCTTTGATAAGAAGAAAAGGCCGTGGACTGACTCTGGCCATATCAGCTTCATGTTAGCCGTTAGTCTGTGCTGCTGTTGGAGCAGAAGGACTTCAGCTGGAGAAGAGGAGGAGGAGGAGCAGGGAGACAACATCACTCGACCTGTAAGTACAATTTAACCTCACTTTATTTTGGTAGATACCATGATGTAAATGTCTGCCATTAGTTTTATCACCCGTGAGCTTACGGTGTTTATGGTGTTTCTAGTGACGTTGAGAAACGCCATAAGCTTTAATTTACAGCTTATGGTGTTTCTAATCGTCACTACGTTCGTATACCACAAAAAATAACACAGCAATGATGTTGTTGACTAATAGAGATGGCAACACCTTTACGACATAGACTAGCGATGTGTTTACAGCGGTGACACAGCCTCTCTCTCTCTCTCTCTCTCTTTCTCTCTTTCTCTCTGCATTTATGTTATTATTTACCGGAAACGTTAGCTATAACGTAATTTGCGGTAATCCCTCCCTCCCCCCGCCGACATATACTTAACTGCAGTCTTCTATACACATGACGTCACAACACGCCGATCTGTTTGTCACCAGAACTGATGTTCAGCTGATTAAGTCAATAAATAAAGTAAAAAGCAAGTTTGCTGAACGGAAACCAGCGCGTGAATACATGAACATGGGAAAACACATAGTGTCTCACAATCATAAGATGAACGTGAATGTTAAAGTAATAGAGTATAAATGTACAATTGTGTTAGTAATATTTGTTTTTTTAATCAAAGAGCTCTTCGGCAAACTCGCTCTGCCTAGAAAATGAAAATGGATCATTCCAAGGCCGAGGTTAGGCTGATGACAACTTTACTTACAGGAGCATCACATGTTCCATACGTCACATTCAGTGTCCTTTCAGCTTCTTAATTTGCCAAATAACCCAAAACAGTGACACGTTCAAACGCTGTGCAGTCAATCACAAAACCCACATCAGTTTTCTAATAAAACAAACCACTGTGTGTCTATTATTTGAAAAAGTGTTTCTTTTTGGGTTTGTCCATCAGTCATCTGAAGTGCAACTGATTGTGTAGTGGATACAGAGAGGAAAACAGTGACCAAAAAAGTTCCAGAATGCCTCTGTTCTTTAAGAAGAAGAAGCCCAGCGATGACTCTCAGAAACGACTGGAGTATCAGCTCTGTCGGGTAAGACGAATGTGTTCATCCTGGAATTTTGGCCAATATCAGATCAATACCGATCCTGAGTATCGGATCGTCTCACCCCTACTTTATATGCAAATGTACGTGTGTATCAATAAAAAAGACGCTAACTTTGTTTTTTGTTGTTGTTCAGTCTAAAGAAGCGGGCGCTGATGACAGCCTGGACCTGTCTTGCTGTGAGCTCTCTGAGGTGAGGCTTTACTTTAATCAAGATAAATCATTATAAATTCACAGCTACCGTGTGATTAATCAGAGTAATGTATGTAATTGATTTTTTCATTTATAACTAATGCATTTATAATGCTTAGTGGATAAAAGTAAAATTTGCTACAAAGTTGAACACCAGACTTTGTGTTGAGAGGGTTCGTCACATGAGGATCACTTATAGCTAGAAACTCAAACAAAGCGGTCAAGTTTTCTAATATCCCATTTATTTTGTCTCGAATGTCTCTGTGTATGTCAATAAGTGTTAGGAGAATTTATGTTTCAAAATAAAACATTGTTCCCACTACTATCTATACTACTATAATTATATGTAAATGATTTTTTTCTCTTACAGGTTCCCTCCAGTGCATTTTCTATCTGCCGAGTCCTCCAGAAAAAGGTAACGATACACGTCGCCTGTCGGAGTTAACTGTTATTAGTTATTCACTTTTAGGTTTTCAGTAGCTGAAGCTCAGACAGAAAATCAACAGACTGGGGAAGTGGTCAATACGAATGTTGTTTGCAACATGAACTGTGAAGCACAAAAAGTCCCTATATATTTACTGTGCTCTTTTTCTTTACATCTAGAATGGTACATGTATTTTTATTGATGGTCAGTCACTGTCCCACAGGTTTTAATCCTTCATACCAATGAGTTAAGGTCCCTGCTGCCCAAGGGTAATGACATCAGTAATCTTGACACTCTGAAGGTAATGTGAAGGTGCATGATGGGAAATGTTATTGTATAACAAATAGTGCCGATTGTTTTTTAACTGTCTTTGTATGAAGAGAACAAACATTTCCCAAAATGTCTAGTAATTTTGAATTCTATACTTTTATTGTAATACTCATATATATTACTGTATATTTTGGGAGATGTTTATTGGTTATTTTGACATTAAAAAATATAAATGTTTTTATTTGACCTCTGTCGCTGTGTTGCTGCCACACAACAATTTATCTGATCAATAAAGTTCAATCTAATCTAATCCAGAGCTAAAGTTATCTTAAGAACTAGTAAAGATCTGTATACTGCATGTACTGTGTACACACCAAAGAAATACAAACACATAAATATACAGCATATTTGTTAAGCACATTAAGCATAATTCTAATCTATTCTGTTATATTGACTAATCTGCTTGTGTTTTCTCTAAAGGTTTTGGATCTTCATGAAAATAAACTCACCTCTCTTCCAGAAGACATTGGGAAACTGACGTCACTGCAGGTAAAACCATTCTGAACTTCACTCCTGACACCGAGTCATGTTAAAACCGACTGTAATCCTTAATGGATTTTTCTGTCCTGTCAGATTCTGAATGTGGACAAAAACCGCTTGAAAAGCCTGCCAGACTCCATCGGGAATTTAGAGCTCCTACAAACACTGAGTGTGAAAGGTTTGGAGCCATTTTATCCTTTTACTCAGACACAAACACAAATATGTAATTCATTTATCATCTTGCTTTACCTGGTTTGTCACACTGTAGGTAACCAGTTAAATGAGCTGCCCTCATCAGTTGGCTCCTTAAAGAGCCTGCGCACCCTGGACCTGAGCGATAACCACATCCTCCAGCTCCCTAAAACCTTGGCCTACATCCGAACACTAGAGGTGCTTGTGCTTTTTGGAAGCAGTTGAGGATCATTGATAGACTTTTTTTTTTTTTTTTTTACAAACCTCTCTTTATGTGATGTTACAGAGCCTGACTCTGGACACCGCTGTGATGACCTACCCACCTGTGTCGGTGTGTACAGAGGGCACAGAGAGCATCCAACGCTTCCTGTGCTCAGGTCAGTCGGTAGTTCAGGGTAAAACTAGGTCAGTGATTACTAGGGATGTCCGATATTATTGGCCCGATATTAGCATAATAATGTAATATCTCTTAATATCGTTATTGGGTTTTCCTCCGAAAATAAAAACCTGATAACGCAATGTCTGGGTTCCCCCCTCAAAATAGTTTAATGCCCCGGCGACAGACCAGTCAGATACCTCAGAGCTGTGAAGAACTTTTATTGAACCACAATTGCAGTAACTTGTTCTAAACTCCTTTATTGCTCTCAACCCAGCTTCTCCAAAATCACACTCTCTGCACTCTCTCTTCCTCATACACACACCTGCTCTCACCACACCTCGTCATTCCCCTCCACACCCATGACTGGTAACTCCTTCATAACACATGAACAGAACATTATAAATGATAATTCAGTCTCCAGTCACTAGATGGCAGCATTGCAGCTCATTTTATTCGTCTAATTCGTTAATCAGAGGATTGTATGCAGAATGTTGGTGCCAGCCACTCTTACAGTGGTTTGTACAGATACATAAATAAATAAATATTACCAGGCCCTCAATAGTATTTCAACTTGGGGGAAGGGGCCACCACTGCCCCGCTACATCGCTATCGGTTGATATCGGAATCAGAAAAGTGTTCGGACAATATCGGCGTATCGGATATCAGCAAAACGTTAATATCGGACATCCCTACTGATAACTGATGGGTTTACCTTATATCACCAAGGATGTCTGCTGAGGCAGACTTTGGTTTGTTCAGCTAGGTTTGGCAAACGTTGATTTACCTGATGGCAGATTCCTTTGTTGATGTGGTTTTCAGAGCTGGGTGAAGAATACTGCCCTCCATCTCAGTACCTTTTGCCAGTGCTGGAGAGTGACTGCAGTAGACAGAACTGTGACCACTTGGATGGTGTGGAGGAGACCTGGAAGGTACACCATGTGACCTAGTGGTACACTTTACCCCATAATCACACAGAAGGATGGATCTGGTTTGCTAGAGCAGTAATTATCAACTGGTAGCCCATGGGCCAATATTGTTAGACAAAAATGTGATTTTTATTTCATTTTATTTGAGTGTCTGCCCCATGGTGTCTGGTCAGAAAGAATCTAACCCTCCAACAAATATAGTTGGTGACCCCTGCCATAGAAGATCATGGTATGGATCGTGGTATCCAGTTGTGTGCCAATACTTAACTCCAACCATCTGGAAGGTCATGTCATATACATATATACATATATATATATACATATATATATCCTTTATCTAAAGAAGAGAGTGGCTGGAAGAGAATCTACTTCCCTTTGATAAAGTGTTCATACATATATATATATATATACATATACATATATATATATATATATACACATATATATATATATATATATACACATATATATATATATATACATATATATATCCTTTATCTAAAGAAGAGAGTGGCTGGAAGAGAATCTACTTCCCTTTGATAAAGTGTTCAGTTGGACGCTCTCTGCTGTAGTGTAGGTTCTCTGATATCTTGTGAGGGGGGATCTGCATATTCAAAGTTGATACTGCTTCACTTGATGAATCAACTGTTGTCATCTGTCTTAACGTGTCCTCACTTTCTGTTGCAGAACAAATTCAGTGACTATGAAAAAAGAAAGGTGTGTGAACAGCTGAAACCTTGACTGCAATATGTTTCTGTACGGATAATTTGAGTGTTCTTTCCACTGATGTTTCAACTGCTCTACACCTTTCAGGAGCAGAAGCAGAAGGAGAAAATAGCTTTTGAACGACACCTGGAGGAGAGGCAAAAGGAACACACTCAGCTTGTGCTCATGAGTTCATCATTCAAGGAAAACATCCTCAACTCAGTGCGACTGGTACAACACTGCTTTTGTCTTTGCTATAGAGGAGTAAGAAGTACTCCTGTATAGTGGGGCGTGCCCCCCCCCGGGGGGCCGGGGGGGGGGCGGGGGGGGGGGGGGGTTGTGAGGGCCTTAAGTGTACCACTGCTGTAATGCTTGAATGATAACACATGAACTTTTGTGATCACTTTCATGTGACCTTTAGGAGCAGGAACGTCTGGAGCAGGGAGTGTGCCAGCAGCAGAGGGCTCAGGAGGTTGAGAGGCTGCTGGTGCTGGAAAAGGTCCGACAGGCTGAGGACAGCATCAGCAGCCGCATCAGCAACATGCTGATCGACAACCAACGGTAGGATCTGCGTGCATTATGATGAGGCTGTGTGTGTCTGAGCAATTGGGTCTTTGCTAACGCTGTACCTTAACTGTTGTCTGTGCAGGCAGAATAAAAACACAGAGTTTCTGCAAGCCATGGAGGAGGAACGGTGAGTGTGCCAGAACCTTCTGATCGGTCACAGCTCAGACAGAACTTTATCAATCCCTTGGGAGTTCCCTTCTGTCTGCACTCTTCTTATATAATGTTCTTTTAATGTAACCAATAATAGTCATCAACAAAGCAGCATAAACATGTTGACTGTCTCACGTCATAGGATCCGTATGGAGCATCTTACCGCAATCACACAGGAAGAAACTGATTTACTGCGCAAAAGGGAGGTGGCAGGTGAGCAGACAGACGTCAGTCTACACTGACATCAAAACCAGCAGTGGCACACTCATTTGAATGAATCTTCCTAGTATCGCAGGTGTATGGAATTGTTCCCTACTGTATTGTGTTTTGTTGTTGTCCTCACTGAGCCACTTTAGACCCATCATATCAACATCATCTGGTGCACAGATTTTTCTGACACGTTGAATTAGTTTCATATTTCCATTTACGCCCTGATATAAAAAACATTGGCCTATTGTATTGTATTCAAACCTTATCTACATATTCAGACTTCTCTGACTTTTAGACACTGAATTGCAATGAGCAGAAATCATTTTTACTCATTATAAATGACATAATTCAATATTTGACATCCTCAACTTCATCTCTGCATTGTTTATAAAATTAGAAAAAATAAATATTAATGATTTATGACTTAGTCTAGTCTGTTTCATAATCTGTCTCATTCTGTGCATCCAGGCACTTTGCGCTAGAAGGAATAAAGACAGGAACGTCTGGAAGTTTCCAGTTACATGACACTCGCACCATTTGTTGATTCACTGCCACAAAAGCAATTATGCCGGCCAAGAAAGATGCACGATGCATTATTGGAAAACCATTAGCATTGCCTGTATTCTCTCAGCAATTCTCCTTAATAATTTACCCTGTTTTCTCTCTTTGTGAAGCGGCCATGCAGCAGATGCTATCGCACAGCTGTGCTGTCAACGTTCTCCAGGAAGCCAATGACAACCGCAGACGTAGCCTGATGTCCGAGGCCTGCAGGAGGTCAGAGACACACATGCTGTACGCTAACACATGGATAGTCTGTTGAAGTTATCACCTTCACACAACAGGAAGTCGGCCATTTTGGAATAAACATCCATTTAGTGCTCAGTGGAATGCAGCAAACTTCTCCTTCTGTTTTAAGGCAATCTTCCTCAAATTTGGCCAGTAACACCTAGACCATTGTGTCCCAAAGACTGGGTCACAACCCTCAGGTGGGTCGCAAGAGTTTTTTGGGTGGGTCATCTTGCAACATTTTTCCCAGAACTTAACAAATAACATCTATTGACTTGGGTCACAAAGTATTTGTGACTTTCTTGGTGCCCAGAAAAAAAGTTTGGGAAACACTGACCTAGACAACAAATGTCTGATCATTATCCTGCCCTTTGACGGTGGTTTCCAGAGCGGTGGATTAGCCCACCTGTGAGGCACAGACAGGGCAAAATAACACAGTAGGGAAAATTCATTGGCGTTGCCTCAGATGCTCTTTCACTTCATCATCTTTGATGAATGGGGCAGTGGTGGCTCAGTGGTTAAGGAAGCGGACTTGGGTCTGGAAGGCTTCAGGTTTGAGTCCACCAGTTCTGGTGCTCTGAGCAAGGCACCGTCCCCACTCACTGCTCCCCTGGTCCTTAAAGCTGCCCACTGTTCACTTTGGTGATGGGTTAAAAACAGAGGTCCCATTTGGGTGTGTGCAGTGGTGAGCTGTGTCACAATGACGTTCACTTTCCTTTTTCTGTCTCACCGCCGTATCTGCGACGGTCTTGTTAACTTTATCCTGATGCATCATTTGTTTCCTGGAGTCAACATTTCATGATGCTTTGTGAAAGTACAAACTGAAGTCAACAGTCCAGATGTTTTGCTGTTGCACTGTTTTGTGCAGTATGGAGACTTTGGACAAAAAGTTTGACAAGATGTTGTCCCTCCAAGCGTTGGACAAATCTAAAGCCATTGCCCAAATCTTGCAGGAGGTATGTGATTTCTTTTTTTTTAATCTTTGCCATCAGACTATATTAGAGTAGAAGAAGTTGTCACTCTGATTTTGGTCCGTAGTCAGACTGATTTGTTGTGACCTCTGACCCCTCTGTAGGAGGAGATTCAGAAAGCTGCTTTCCAGGCTCTGCAGCTACAGAAAGATGCTGTTCATGGCTACTTACGCAACCAGGTCTGTGAGGTTAAAGGCCTGATGTGCTGTGTTCACTTGCAGTATTATCACTGCTCTAGTTTTCAGTGATGTCAATGTTTAAACAATGTCTTTTTATATTGATGATTCGTTTTAAAATTAGACATGAATGTGGATTTTTATTTTCTTTTTCTTTCTTTCTTTTTCTTTTTTATTTGGTTTCTGTTGTTCTCCTCATTGGTTTATTTTATTTATTTATTTATTTCTCTCTGCACTCCTTCCTTCCTACGCTCCTTCCTTCAATCCATTCTTTCTTTCTCCCCTCAGTAATACTCACGTTGCCCTCTTTCATTTGTCTTTGCTTGTACGTCCACAGATCAAACTCATAGAGAATGAGCTAATGCTGCTGACCAAACTGGAGGTTAAAAAACGCAACCTGGATGCTGAGACCCTGCAGGTCAGTGTCACAGCACACTTCCCCAATAGTTCCATTCTAGCTTTTTTCCTCCAAACGTTTTTTTTTTTGTTTGTTTCCATTACATCAATCCATGCGACAGTATACGAAATTGTATTTATAAATGTTAAAATGCAACATTATTATCCATGCAATAAATGATCACATCGATGTGTGAGAGATTTTTGGTTCTGTTTTACTAATAATGACAGTGTGTTGGGTTGTGTGTTTGTTCGTGTGTGTGTGTGTGTGTGTGTTCAGGAGGTTCTGGTGGATCAGCGCACAGCTCTCAGTGATCTGTTGCAGCAGCTGCTGAAACAGAAGAATCAGAGAGAGCAGGAGCTGCAGCAGATTCTGGTGAGGGAACTGCTGCCCCCCAGTGGTCCAAAACTGCAGTGTTGGCAGTGGTATTTTCAGAGAAGCAACTTTGTCCAGTGAGGAAGTGTTTGGACCCAAATACTTCCTCACTCACCCAATGTTAATAAGTTTCTCTGACTAAGTAGAAAACTAAGAACAGAACCAGACTAGTAATATATTAAAAACATGATGATAAACATGATAATGATATTAGAATAATATATTATAAACATATTTTATTCGGGATGGCCTAGATTTTTACACAAATACCAAACGTAGGACTTTAGGTTGTTCACTCTGTGTAAAAATAAACTGCCCTCCGACCTCGCACAATTTGATAATTTTAATGAAAAAATTTTGCAAAAATAATTGACCAATTATGTTATTATATACACAGTATTTCAGGTGGATTTTGTCTCTGATGCTTTACCTCATGCTTTTTCTCACCACAATATGAGTTGCACATTTTAATGACTTCACATTAACATGTTGACCATTTTGCTCGTCATTCTCTGGTGCAGTGGGTTGAATGAGGCGCCACCAGTTAGGACCCCAGTTCTAATAGTTTGTGTTTTACAGTCTGAGCTGCAGCGTAAAAGCGAGTCGAGTCAGGAGAACTACTGGATGATCCAGTATCAGAGGCTGCTGGATGCTAAGCCCATGTCCCTGCGCATGCAGGTATGAAACACAGTATGGACGCACAGACACTCGGGGACAGGCAGTTAGATGGAGGGCATCTGACTCTATTATGTATTAATTAAACATGCCTCCTTTACTGTCATTTTTCTATCCCTCCACCCTCCTTGGTCTCAGGACATGTCCAAACCATGATGAATATATTTCACAATGGACAGCAGCAATTAACAGCTGCTCTCAATATCAGCCTCAGATAGTAACAAAGTATTTTTTGTTTTTAAATAGTTGTCAACATCCAACATAACATTCTGGTGGAGGCAGCTAGAAACACATATTTTTATAATCATTGTGGCCAGAAGTTTTAAACTAAGGGGCAAGTTTACTAGGATATACTGTACATGACTTGACTTTTCTATTGATGATGTGCAGCATACACACACACTGACCAGTGTAAGCTGCATTGTGGGTTTTTTTCCACTCCGACAGTTTGTGAGACTATAAGAATATTATTACCACGAGAGGCTGAACTGCATTGACCTTCAATTCAATCCCGTTTATTACTGAAAAAAAAAATCTGTCAGGTCATTGAACCTGAAAAGATTGACCCAATGTGTATGAACCCATGTTGTTGCAGGAAGCAGGCGTTGAAAAGGAGTTGGTCAACCTGCTGTACAAACTGTCCGCTCAGCATTACCTGCCCCTGGTGGCTCACCACAGGATAACGGCTGAGGTCCTTCGTCAAATGAGCTCTGCTGACCTGAAGAAGGTGTGTGTGTGTGTGTGTGTGTGTGTGTGTGAGAGAGAGAGAGCCTGTGTGATTTACCATTACCACAGTACGTGTGTTTGTCAGCTAATGTTACACCAAGGCAATTCTTGTTCCTCTGCTTCCAGATTGGTATCAATGGAGTGGGAATCCAGAAAGCTCTTCTCAGCTGGGCCCAGGGTTTCCAACCAGAAGGTAAAATTTATATATATATATAGATAGATATATAGATAGATAGATAGATAGATAGATATTAGTTACATATATATGCATTTTTCAATAAATAAATGGTTCTGGTTTAATATGTGTTTCATCCACGTTGTAATCACATGGAAACTATGTAAAATGTCCTTTAGTCAGTGTTTTATTGTTAGCTTGTTTCAGTACTGTGCACTCATACTTTGGGTGCTGTAGCTGAAGATACAAAGGTCAGAGGTCACTGGTGTTCTTCTGTACATGAAAGCAAAGAAAGTTGCTGGTTCCACCCCCAGTGGTTAGTGATGCTCTTTCTGAATCAATTTCTTCCGCCAACCAATAACATGGAGATTGGAGTTTAGATTAATTGTTCACCCAAACTGACAATAAGTGTAAATGTAATGTAAGGGTCAAACAGACATTGACAGGTGCGTCACTCTATCCTCCACTTGACCAATAATACTTTGTCTTCTAGACGGTCCTCAGGCCGCGCCTCTGAAGGAAGTGGAGGAAGAAGCCATGCCCTCAGCTCCACCTGAGCCTTCTCCTCCCTCCGTATCCTCCATGTCAGCTACCTACTTCCCTAGCCCACCACCCACCCCTGGGACACCCGTCACCCCTGCGGCGTCCAGCCCTGTGGAGGCACCAGGCAGCTCTGAGTGTGTGGTCTGCATGGAGAGTCAGGTGAGAGAAATGAAAAGAGAAATAATCTTTACCTACATTTATTCACCTGGAGTATGAAAGCAATAGAGCGTTCCTTGTATTTTTACATTAAAAAACTGCAGAGGTTGGACCTTATATTTTATAATATATAAATATAAGAGAGAAACAGCTAAAGCACAAACCAAAAGAAGTATTATTCAAGGTAATATTCAAATTTTATGTGTAAATATATATTTCAAGTTTTCAGTGTAGAACGATCACCTTAGCTTCGTCATTTGGAAACTAACCCCCAAGCCAAAAAGGTCTGGACGCCCCTGCACTAGATATCACACTAGACTAGACACTAAACACTAAGACACTTAATAATAATGATAGGCCTGGTATTGTAGTATACTTGTTCCACAGATGGAAACTGCACGTTGTAACATTGGTGAGTATGGTTGCTTGCTTGCTAAGGAAGCAGACTTGGGTCTGGAAGGTTTAAGGTTCGAGTCCCCCAGCATGGCACTGTCCCCACACACTGCTCCCCGGACGCTTCAGCTGCCCCCTGTTCACTTTGGTGATGGGTTAAAAGCAGAGGTCACATTCTGTTGTGTGCAGTGTGCTGTGTCACAATGACAACTTTCCTCCCTTAAAGGAAGCTTTTATGTCTTGTGTATGCTGCGTCCTGGTGACTGACACTGGTGTGTTTGTGTCTCCAGTCTCAGGTTATTTTCCTGCCCTGTGGTCACGTGTGCTGCTGTACGGTGTGTAACGAAGCACTGCAGAACTGCCCGATGTGTCGGGCCAACATTTCCCAGCGTGTACTCCTCTACCGCAGCTGAAGTCGCTGCTCCTCTGCACCTGCTGTGACCGAAGACCGCACATGAGACAAATGGAGTCTTTTAGTTTCTGCCTGCAGCCTGTGAGTTTAGAGATGAAAGTGGATTATATTCCAAAATCTCCAAATACTAGAATTTTTAAAATAAATCATTTTATTTAACACTAATTTTATTTTATTTTTCTATAATGCAGTTATGAGAGACTTATATACAGTACATACTTCCTGTCAGGTAAGCTAGACATCATGTCAATAATATGACATAAATTATGTTTGTAATAAAAAAATTGAAATCAATTTAAATGAGATGGAAAATAAGTGGGTAGAATGATTAAATATCTAAAAATGTATTAAATAAATTGAAATTTTCATTTTAGGAAATTGGCTAAACATCTTATAATAGACATAAAAAAGGACTATCCCACAAAAATGAAAAATATTATATACATATATATATTATGTGTATATATATTTGAGGGAAAGGTCTCTGACCACATACCTGGTACAAATCCTGACTATTTCATTTCTCCTAACAGTGACATTATCCTATTTAATAACAAACATGCGACTCGAGATGTTACAGTAAGTCAGTGATTCCCACTGCACGTGATTGACATAAAGAAGTCTTACAGTGCACCACTGAAAAAAAATTCCCAAAAGTTTATGAATTGAAATATGATATTCTTTTTTCAATGAACTTACACTTTACTTCCTTGAGGTAAAACCTGGGCCTGTTTAATTAAACGTATCACTGATATGCCCGTAGGAATTGAAGAAAGACACACAACAGCTCTGAGTCTCTTTTTTTTAAATTTATAACCATTTGCTTCCACCTAGTGGAATAGTAGTTATGTATGTTCTGCCTTTTTACATAGACAAACAAGAACATTATTTACTGTAGATGAATAATAGATTTCAGACCAAGAAAGTCCAGTTGGATCATTTTCAATGGTACAACTGATGATGTCTCGTGGCACATGAGTTGCAGCACAGTGTTTGGGAATCACTGCAGCAAGTGACTGATACAGTATTATGCACATTAAGAAAGATAGAAAAAATTATAAAGAACTACAGTAATGGTCAAAGTCAGCTTTATTGTCAATACCTTCACATGTACAGAACATACAGAGGTATCGAAATTACGTTCCTCACCTTCCCGTGCGCTGACAGACATAGACAATACTGAACGAAAAACATTAAGGTGCAATAACAATAAGGTGCATGTGTAGCTTTAAGGTGCTGTAAGGTCTGTAAAAATATATACATGAGGTACATAATAAATATAGTAATATAATTAGCAGCAGATGAGGTGGTAATAGTGCATTTTATGGCATTTCAACAGTGCAGTGGATATGTAAAAGAGGCAAAGGTACAGGTGGATGGTGGTGAGTACGGAGTAATATCTACGGTATCTGATATTTATTCCAGTATTCATTTTATCTTAACAAAGTGTAAATAACAATATTTTAATGTTTTTATTTTAAAAAAATTTAATTTAAAAATGTGGGCAGTATTAGACCAGCTGTCCATTCAAATAGGAAAAGTAATGAGTAAACTTTACATGTCTAAGCCTCAAAGGTTGAGGTCTGCAAACAGAAGACTACATCCAGCTCCATGTACGGTCCACGACTACAGAACACTGTGTTTATGCATGTTTATAAAGATGCTGTGATTGAACTTTAACTTTAATGAGTATAGAGAAGGTTTAGAAAGGACCAACTGTCCTTCATTCACCCTCACCTACAGTACTTTACTATATATTCTAAGAAACACATTTTAAATGTTCTGTCATGTTACCAGCTTTAAAGCATTTCTGACTTTTTTTATTGTATACATTTATCTAACATGTGCCTTCTACAACCTGTCACTTTTGTTTTCAATTATATAAATAAATATTGTTCACAATGGCTGCCTGTATATTCCCCATGCTGGAATACTGTATACATTACACGAAATAGTGTAATGTACTGTTGGGAACCCTTTCTGCAGTTCGTTTGCTTGAGGAATGGTTCCCTGTAGTGTTAATGGCTCTCCCTAAGTTGTACCGAATGTCCTTCTCTGTAAAAATGCAAAACCTTTTCTCACTTTCATGTGCATATACCTTTAAAATGTAGACCTGTCTATAAATAAAGATTTTATTTGCCAAGTCTATTGTTGTGTCTACAATGACTAAGACAATTCTATAAAATGTTGTTGACATTTCTACGCAATACCAACTTTTCTTTTTATATAAAGAAAAATAAATATTTTTATGATGGTATTTTCCCAATGTGGCACAAATACAGAACATATTTTTATTGGCACACTTTTCTACTATACCAATTGAAACAGCATACGTGTTGCGAAATTCTGAGCCAAAAGAACTGTGTGGTTCAGACTTTGAACATCAAAGCTTTTCAAACAGCAAAATATGATTCCGTTCAGCAATAAGAACCATTGGCTGTGTTATCACCTACGACTGCCAGGGGCGGCGCTAGTGCTGTTCGCCATTAGCCGTTGACAACGATGAAGAAGAAGCGGCTGACAGTCAAGCCGTTCTACAATGTGATTGGTTGTTTTTGCTGGAGGCGGAGCCAGACTTCAGCTGCAGCAGTACACAGAGGAGCGGCAGCGGCGGCCGACTGTGCTGTGACGGAGCGTTATTGTTGTTTTACATGAACTAAACACTACACGCGGTCGAGCACCCGCACGGTTCAACAGAAACGCATCTGAAAAAGCCAGGCTGTTATGGAGTCCTACGACATCTTAGCTAATCAGCCGGTAGTGATTGATAATGTAAGTATGATGTCATTCATCCACACCCAAACGGAGGCCGCTGGCTGTTAGCTGTCGTTAGCCGTCTTAGCTATTGTGCTTTAGCTAAAACACCGGTGACGCCTGTCATCCTTAGAAAACCTGCGAGCAGCACTGTATATCTAAATGTGAAAACTGATATATTTCTATATACGCAGTAAATGTGCAGGGACAGCGCAGACCTTTGTTATTGTTGAGGGAAATGTCTTTATTTTTCCTGTTTGTACCATCACACTAATGGTGTTGGGAAAGCACTGAGATTCAGACTGGACATCGGGATAATAATATGCTCATTCTGGAGCTCAGAACATTTCCAGACAAAACACCTCCACCTCCGTGCTAGCCACGGCTAACAAATGAGTACAGAACTACTTTATACTAACCATTGTACATGATTGTGTTAATGGTTGGATGTTCTTTTAGAGTGAGATTTTTACACAAAAAATAAAAAATTATTTTGTGCTTCTCTCGAAAAAACGACGATACATTCGGAAGAACCAGTAAACAGTCTGACAGACTTGAACCCAGTCATGACATTCATACTTTCTATTAGCTATCTGACTGCACACAGTCAGAGACAACTAGACCCCAAGTCCTTCACACATTAAATGCAGTTTAACCACACAAAAAACATTTATTTACATTTTACATACTTTTTAGTACTTCTTATTTTAATGTGTTTTGACCATTTACTGACAAGTCCTGAATCAATATGATTTATGAGCCAGTCTTATGAGTCACACCTCCAATTGTAAATCATAATCCGAGAGTATTTATAGGGAGAAACGTAGTAACCTACATTTAAAACAAACAAAATGTGTTCAGACAAGAAAGATTGTTTTCTCAGTGTATGGTTTGTTTTTATCATATTTAGTGCAGGTGAGTCTCTGACAGGTCAGACAGTTCTGACAGTTTCTAGCTGCTTTTTCTTCCACACACAAAAAATGAAGTGCAGTAAAAAAACAAAAAGTTTAAAAAAAACATACTGACTAAATCCAGGCAAAAGCATCTCCAGGAGAAACAGACAGTATCCACTGGACTTGAGGTTCTATTAAAGTTGGTATGACCTTGTAAATCAGTTCAGGGCTGTTTTTTTCTTTAGAATTCAGTGTTTTGATGTCACTACTGTGAGCTCTACCACAAAGTGTAGAAGTCGCTAGGTAAAAAAAAGTCCAATATTTATTGCTTCAGTCTGGTTAAGTATAATGGTTGGTGAAAAGTGACTCTAGAGAAACAATCCACTAGTTAAACTTCCCTCATTCTACCACACTGATAACGTGATGCAAAAAGAAACCAACTGTTATAATTGAACACATGTGAAAACAAAGGTATGCTGCAGAAGACTATTGTGTTCTGTCTCTGCTACTCAGTGTAGCAGCTCACAGTATGTAGAGTATATGAAGGTTTGTCTGCCAACTGCAGAGTTCTGTCTGAGTTGGAGTGTGACTGCTGTTGCCTCCAGCTCTGTCCCATGACCCTCCCACCCCCCACCCCTGCTACAGTTCTCTCATCATTCATACTCATTTTTCTGTTTTTTTTTTCTCCCTCCAGGGCTCAGGTGTTATTAAGGCTGGGTTTGCTGGTGACCAGATACCCAAATACTGTTTTCCTAACTAGTAAGTGTTCCATGACCTGTGTTTGTGTTTTATCTGTCTGTGTTTTTCTCTGTGTTTTATTGACTTTTTATACGTAAATAAGTGTTTATATTGATGCAGTCACTCTGTTTGTTTATGTTTAGTGGGTTAAGTTCACTGTTTGTAATCTCATCAACGTTTAAACTCAGCTTTATTAAATGTAGTCATTGTATTCCTTCTTTTCTATTGAGCCAAATCATTATACAACCTGATGTTTTGAATGGTTTGAAATGGTTTTCTTTGGGGAAAAAAAGGATGATTAAAAAAATTGTGGGCAAAATAGAATGAAATTAAATTGAATAAAACAGGTGGAATTGAAATGAATGGAATAAAATAGACTAGAATAGAATGAAATATAGCACAGCAGCATAGCTTTTATTGTTATTGCAAAAAACTAAAGTTAGTATAAATTATTATATTCAGATCCGTTACATTTGTGTTTTTTAAACTCACTACCTGAACTGTCTGTTTGTGTCATATCTAATTAGTATTTCATATCGTCCAATCACCTTTTTCCATGTGTTTGTGTTAACTAGTGTGGGACGCCCCAAACACGTGCGTGTGATGGCAGGAGCCCTGGAGGGAGACCTTTTTATAGGACCCAAGGCAGAGGTGACAAACACACACTCAACTTTACACATCAGTTCTCTGTCATGACTCACTAGTCTGCATAAATTCGTCCAGTTTAAATATTTACTTCTGGAATAATTGGGAACATAGTGGGGTTTTTGGGTTTGTTTTGCCTTTTCTCTTACCAGTCGACTGTTGGGATTGATTCAACCTTTAAAGACGCTGAAATGAATACATCTGATTCAGAACAATGTTAATGTTTTCAGAAGAATATAATTGATTATCTTCTCAAGTCATTCAGTCGGTGAATATCCTGTGTCTCACCACGTGTGTCCTTTCAGGAACACAGGGGTTTGTTGTCTGTACGATATCCCATGGAACATGGAATCGTGAACGACTGGAATGACATGGAGAGGATCTGGCAGTACGTTTACTCCAAGGAGCAGCTGCAGACGTTCTCTGAAGAGGTGAGCTCCTCCTCTCTGCCGTGCCTGTTGCCACAGTCCCATTCTGATCCTTTGTCCTTGTGTTCGGTGTCCTTTGCAGCATCCTGTTTTGCTGACAGAGGCTCCGCTCAACCCTAGCAAGAACAGGGAGAAGGCTGCAGAGATCTTCTTCGAAACCTTCAACGTTCCTGCACTCTTCATCTCGATGCAGGCTGTGCTGAGCCTGTAAGAAATCTCCATAATCCGTCAAACTCTCAACTTGTAGCAACACATAATTCAGTAGAAGACATCTAATCTCAATTTTGGAGAAAAAAAAATGACCTGCACACCAGTAGTTTCTACTAGGATTTTTTAAGCTACAACAACAGGTCATCTTTGCCCCAACTCCACCCCAACTTCACTCACCTCTCTTCCTGACTGTCTCTAATGAAATAGCTTAATATTTATATTTTCTGTGCTAGAGCTACTGCTTCCCCCAGATGTATACTAGGACAAGCACTGAGAGCATCAGTTGAAACTGTTCCTCTCGGTTTGGCTCAGTTCAAGTACAAATTTAAACTATTGTCTGTTGAAGTCTGTTTTGTTTTGAAAATGGCGTGACATCAGGACTGTAGATAATTCTTGGTCACGATCCTTTAACAGTTTGTTTGTTTACGACATTTACATTGATGAGGAACTGCTGGTCATCACCCTCAGTCCCATTACCAAAATGAAGCCGACTTCAGCAGAGATAGCCGCTGACATGAGCTCTTACACCTTCTGAGGTGTTGAACTTATGAGCTACAATAACCTCACACGTTGTTATTGATAAACCCAGCCGGTTGAGACACTGGATGTTTATTTAGATTCCAGTCTTGGTACCAGGTGGACTAAAGGTAACTCTTGTTAATTTTGTCCAGGTACGCCACAGGTCGCACCACTGGAGTTGTTTTGGATTCAGGAGACGGTGTCACCCACGTCGTGCCCATCTACGAGGGCTTTGCCATCCCACACTCAATCATGCGTGTGGACATCGCTGGCAGAGACGTGTCTCGGTACCTGCGGCTCCTGCTGCGCAAGGAAGGCTACAACTTCAATACCTCTGCAGAGTTCGAGGTTGTCCGCACCATCAAAGAGGTAAAGACGGAGGAGATGGACAGTGATTTCAAACTACAGGTAAAAAAAAGCTGTTGCAGGTTTAAACAGATTTGTTTCCAACTCTGCAGAGAGCCTGTTATCTGTCCCTCAACCCTCAAAAAGATGAAACTTTAGAAACAGAGAAGGCTCAGTATGTCCTGCCTGATGGAAGCACCTTAAACGTGAGTCACAAGTCTTTAAAAAAGATGTTGATAAGGAATGTCTGACGCATACTGTATGTGAAAGGATGTCAACAAAATTGGATTTTTTTTTTTTTTTTTTTTTTTTTTTTTTCAGATTGGCCCAGCGAGGTTCCGCCGCGCTCCAGAGCTTCTTTTCAGACCTGACCTGATCGGCGATGAAAGCTCGGGCATCCACGAGGTCCTGGCCTACGCCATCCAGAAGTCTGACATGGACCTGCGCCGCACACTGTTTTCAACTATAGTGTTGTGTGGAGGCTCAACACTGATCAAAGGTCAGTAAATAGAGGTCAGGGCTCAGCATGGACATCATCAACTATGAGTTGTCCAGCACCAACTTAGAAAGCAGAATTTTAAGTAATTCCAATCTTTGTAAACCACTGACTTCATGATGATTCAGCAGAATAAGACCTTTTATTTCTTAAATGTGTGAAACTAAAAACGTTTCTTTTATTTGTAGGATTTGGGGAAAGACTATTAACTGAAGTGAAGAAGCTTGCACCTAAGGATGTGAAGATCAAGGTGGGTGCAGGTCCTGTGTCCAGTTTGGTTGATGCTCTCTGTGTGTGGTGACCTTTTGTGACCTTCATCTTTTCTTCTTGTGCAGATCTCAGCTCCTCAAGAGAGACTCTACTCCACATGGATTGGGTAAAAATGACTTTTCCATTCTCCAGTCTGAATGAAACTTGAACCAATGTTTGTTCAGCAATGGAGAGTGGTTTTTTTATCAGTTATATTTAGGGTGTTTGGCAGCACGGAGTAAGAGTGAACTTGAACATGTTCATGTTCATCTACATTTTTCTACTAAAAATTAGGTTTTTGACAAGTATGGCTAGCTATAACAACAACACCTAATGGTAGAATTGTGTGTTGGAGTGTGGCTGTGCTGGAGTCTGTGGTCCTGACTGTTTCCTCTCCTGACAGTGGCTCAATCCTGGCCTCACTGGACACCTTCAAAAAGATGTGGGTGTCGAAGCGGGAATATGAAGAAGACAGAGCACGTGCCATCCACCGGAAGACCTTCTAGTTTGGGACAGCCTTTCTGGAAACCCCCCTCAAAACGGCCCTCAACACCCCTGCCCCTCCCATCCTCCATCATACTGTCGGGGACTGCTGCACTCCTGCACCTGCCATCTCCTTTTTAACCACTCTCCACCTCCTGTGTTGTCACCCTCCTACCTCACCTGACCCTCACCCCTCCCTGAAAAACACCTCTGTTTGTCTCTCCTCATTTTGTTTTTTCTTAGTTTTTTTCTTTCCTCCTGCTGTCCGGTGACGGTAAAGGCACTCACCACCTCACCTCTCTCCCCCCCAGCTTCACCACCTTTTACCGCAAGGGGGCCATCAGGGTACATCAGAGGGCAACAATTAGCACTGTGGACTCCTTTGTTGAGTTCACAGCCAAGTATTGGTGTTGCTCTCTCACCCACAATGCCCTGTGAGGTGTACAATATCATGAATTGTCAATAAACGTGAATGTTTTTTTTTTATTTGCTACTCTTTAAAATGTCCATTCCAAAAGCAAAGTTTTAGATTTTTATTTTACACCAATTTTGTAGGACTTTTCTTTATTTAGTCTCTGATGTGGGTGAGCTCATACAGCACAGAACAAGGATCTGAACGGCTACAGCAGCGTACAGTGCTAGTGGTGTAAAAGACAACAACTGTAATATATTCATATTGGCCTTATCTGCTCAGTTACTTAACGTTAATGCGGTTTATTTATCAACATTGGAACTTTGCATAGATTAGCTCGTTATCATCATGTCATTGTTGTAATGGTCATTGTGATCAGTGAAGGACAGTCATTTCAATTTCTCCCGTCTCCTCCGACTGACACAGGTCTGTGTGTTGTGCTGCAACCAGTTTTCACAAGAACAGATTTTTTTAGCCTCAACGTCCCCCCTGTACAACTTGCTTTCAGCTTTTTATTTGCCACAAAGACAATTCTATAATTTCTTACGATTCGCCTTTGATTTGTGGGCAGTCAGAAATATTAAGTAGATGATCAAGCAGAGGCTTTGAAAGCCCTGACGGAGATGGTGCTTAACGGTAGAGTGGAACATTTGGAACTAAAGCATCAGGAAATGTAGGGCTGCACTTTGTTGAACGTGGCAACACGTTCACTCAAACGTACTGTTTTAGCAGATATCTGGACTAAAGCTCGAAAAATATTTTTTGATTAAATTACAATCATGCGCAAAGTGGACTTTGTGCTTGTTTACAGGCGTTGGTTGAATTGGATATATCTAAAGATGCAGCTTATCAAGTGAAAACTCGGTCGAATTTGCCTTTTTTGAAGAAGTGACAGCTTTACACACCTTTGTTGGTGACTCTTTCAGATTTCTTCAAAGCTCCAGGCGTCAATGTCTTTAGTGAGAACTCTTCAGTCAGCTACAGGAAGCCAGGACCGTCAACAAATAGTCCTCATATTTCCCCTCACTCTTCTCTCTGTCTCTCTCCATTTCCATGTCTGTGTACTTTGTTTGGCTCTTATGATTTCCCTGCATCTCGGTGGCAGTGAAGCGGTCATGTTCACACCTTATGCCAACTGTGTCCACGCTGCAGCATCACGGATGATTTGGGAGAAAACAAAGAGAATAAATAGGTAAAGTCTCATCAGCCTTGTGTACAGTGACGTGCTGTTCGACAACCACAACAGATTGGTCAACAGACAACCAATGTACAAAACTGTTTATTCCAGTGTTTGCTTTTACTTTTTCGTAAATTCAATATAATAAATAAGTTAATGGCTGCTGATCTGGTGTCTGGGCCTTGATTTACTGTGTTGTTGAGTGTAAAATTCTTTTAAAAATATAGTTGTTCCTACTGTAATAGTGTTCAATTGTTTAAAAAATAGGCTGCTAAGGAACACAGGAGAATTATAAAGCTAATTAGTAGTTAATGAATTTATTTAAGCACCAATTTTTCTGGGTACACTTTATTGATCAATGTTTTGATAACCTTTTCTGCTGGGCCTCACTGACAACACCTTCATTAAGCCTCAACTCCTAAACTGTTATGCTCACTTAGCAAAAAAGTTAGAATTCCATATCATTGGAAGTTATTCCACTGTGGAAAAAATAAGATAAAAAAAGAGACTTGGTTATTATGGCTATAGTCGTTTTTAAAAGCATCTGTACGGCTCTGCGCCCCCCCATGTTGCTAATCACTGGTACAGGGTTGGCAAGTGAGTTGGCTTTAATCTAAGGAATTGCAGAGTGAACCACAAATATATTCGTCGCCAGTATTTTTGGAAAAAAAAAAAGTACAAATTGACAGGTAAAGAAAATGTATTTTTTACCGCGTTAGTTGTCTATCTAGAGTTTAGTGTTAATTTCATGTTAACTCGTTTTTAACGACATTAGCCATTAGCCTGTCATGGTTGTTTGCTAAGCAGTTTTTACGTCAGTTAACGTTGCAGTTGTGTTCGAGGTTACGGTCTTATTTACATTAGCCGTGTAGGATAAGACTTACACTTTACATTAAAAATTTGTAATGTAAAGTTCGGAACTTTCAGCAGGTGTAGTGTGTTGGACTAACTTTACTGACTAAAGCACCAAAGGTAGGGGGGAAGCTATTTTTGCTATTTTTACTATTTTTAAAGCACTTCGACCCCATATGAAAGCCTATTAAATTATTATAATATATATAATATATATATAATAAATATTATATACAACTAAAGGGAAAATCAAGAGAGAGTGGTACAGTTGGAACAATGTGATGAATTCAGTCCAACTAAAATCTAGCCAATTCAAACTTCCCTTATATAAATGTAGGGGGCACCATTGTTCTGATAAATACTGTATGTCGATTTCTCAAAAACCCATGTTGTGTTAGTGATTCTCAACCACTGTGTCGCGTAAATCAGTGAGATGTGAGAGATCATCGGGTTCATTATGGCAAATGATTAAATAGTATTGTTATTTACTAAGAAACACTACACATGTGAGTTATACTGCAGTTCACTGCTCTGCTGATCAGCATTTCACTTCAATAACAACAAAGTTAAATCCAACATTTCCGGTATGTCAGACCACAGTCTACACATGTTGTACACATGTCCAGTACAGTGGATGCCACACGTTTGTTAGATTTTTATTTTCAAGTTGTCTTTTTAATATTAAATTGTAACACCTGATATAGAAATTCTACACCTGGTCCAAATCCTGTTCAATTTATTAAGAACTTCATCTCATCAACATCACACTATTGGGACTTTATATATATATATATATATGTTATAGAGTATTTAATTGTTTTTTGTGGGTAGTTAAATTTAAACTGTTGTGTAGGTTATTTTTTTAAATTATCTTTCGAATACGTGTTCTTTTACTTACTTTTTAAAAATGTCATTAACATAGTTTTTACACACAATACATAGTGTAAAAACCTGAAGCTTATTAGCAAATAAAATCTCAATCAACTATTTTTACAATGATGAATCAGTTTGGTCTTTCACTCTGTATTTGCTCAGTAATGCAAATAAACTGAATGTCATTTGAAATGACACATTTCCATTTACAACTTTAAAAAAACCTGCTTTATACATAATGAAAATGAACACTCTGCCATGATTTCACATTTAAAATTAAAATAAAAAAGGTATAGCAGCCCCAGTACAAAAACAAATGACAGCTTTCCCCAGAGCAGCGTAGATAACAGTCATTGCTCAGCAAACTAGAAGCCTGATAGACACTGAAGTGTCCATCATAAGGCCATCAACTCAGATTTGAAAATTCAAATATTCCAACATGATCAAAAAGTATTTATCCCAGCAGAAATATTTCTGTCCACTTTACAAGGCAGTGACAAAATGCATATGGAATAAGGTTCGTCTTACAAGAGGAACACAGACTTCATGATAATGTCACTGCATTCCATCAGTTACTTTAAAACTATCAGAACTTGCTTCAATCTTCTGCCACTAAAACACTCGATCAAATTCAGTCTGATTGGTTGTCGCTGCGTTCCTGTTTTGATTGGGCTGCTGCTGAGGCATGTGACCTCTCCGTCTGGGCGGGGCCAGGTATTCAAACATAGACGTGTTGTGTGTAGACAGCATGTTCTTTAAGTCCGAGGGCATGGGGTCAGACCAGAAAAAGTCGTGGTTGAGGGCATCGTCACTGTCTGTACGCTGAGCTGGGTCCAGAACCAGGAGCTTGTCAATCAGGTCCAGAGCGTAGGGGTCTTTGACATAGGCTTTGAGTCGGTCCTTCACCTTCCTTTTCTGGCCTTTGGGCAGCTCCATTTTCTGGTACAGCTCGTACTTCTTATCCACACCAGGCCACACCTGAGGAAAGAGGAGGATTCAGTTTCTGGCACTTTTCATTAGCATAGAACACAGACAAGAAGAAAACAGCATCACCCAATAACTCCTGGGCAGGGATGGACAGGCAATGAAAAATAAACAGAAAAGTAAAATAGAAAGACATAAAAATGTTCATTCTCCACATGGTTTTAAAGTGAGGCCAGGATGAACATGTACATCATAGCGTTCAGTGTTGTACCATCTGTTAGTTAGCAGCAGTGGGCAGAGACTCAGTGGTCAACATGACAAAGCAGCTCTAAACTTTCACATCTGTTTCTTCTTGTGATTCTAGCTCACCTCAGCTGTGATAGAACCACACAGTTGGCTGATGAGAGTCAGCTGGTGCTGCTCTGTGTTGCCCTGCATGATTGGACTTCTGGTCCACATCTCTGCCATGATGCAGCCCGCTCCCCACAGGTCAATGGGAGGGCCGTAGTCCCGCTCACCTGCACACAGAAAAAAAACAACAATAAGGTCAGTAAGGACTACCATTACAAATCTATAGGGATATATGGATCAGTAACATAACATCAGCATCAATAATCTATAACAACTTTCCACTATGACCAGCTGCTCACAGGTCTGTGCTGTGTTTTTAACTTCAGGAACAAAAACATGAGCAAGACTAGCTGCAAGAGTTGTTCTGTCATGATACAGCAATTTAACAAAACATAGATGACACGTTAAAGCATCACCAGGTCAATTTTTTCGCTGATATGTATTTAATCAACATTATTGGTTTTAAAGTGTGTAACAGTTTAAACCTATAAAAACAGACACAAGCCATTTTTAATTGTTCACTGGATGATGTCATGTTTTATAGCAACAGTAAAAGAGAAAAAAAAATCAATAACAAATACCTATTATATACCATCCATTAGTAACCACAACTGTAAGGGTAAAAGCAGGAGCAGGTTGAGAGTCTCTTACCCAGCAGCAGTTCTGGAGGTCGGTACCACAGTGTGACAACACGGTTGGTGTAGCGGTTCCCCTGGCTGTTTTTAGCCAGACTGAAGGCTCGAGCCAGGCCAAAGTCAGCCAGCTTCAGAACACCATCTCTGGTGATGAGGACGTTGGCAGCCTTCATGTCTCTGTGAAGAATCTGCTCCAAGAGAAAGTTGTCACAACATGAGTCATTTCAGATGATTAGATGCTGTGAGGGTGATCAATATTTTCACTTCTCTATGACAGGCGGTCTCAAACTACAGTTTATGTACAATTGGTGATCCGTACTCCATCTAGTGGTTGGCAAAAATTACTTCTTAAATCTGCATTGGTTATTAGTGGAGGTAGATCAGAGAACCCAGGTACTGGTTGTAGTGCTGCTTCCTTAGACACTGTACATATTTGTATATTGTGCTAAGCTGAATAAGTCAGGTATTTGCTGTGCTACTACAGTGTTGGTACATGATAGTACTGATGGTACTACAGAGGCCACTTGATTTTATTACTGTGAGCAGTACAGTAAGGAAGAGTTCTGAATGGGTGTCTGGTATATTTTGGATATGGCCCCCTCTGTCTGTCAGTGTCAAAGCTGAACCTAGTTCTAAATCTGACAATGTCCTGAACACAGTCCAATGATAATACCACCTCACCTTATTTCTGTGGATGTAGTAGAGTCCATTAAGCAGCATCTGCATGACCTTCTTGATCTCTGCCAGCGTGAACTTTACATTGGCATTACTCAGCAGACCAGCGAGGTCATGCTCACAGAAGTCAAACACCAGGTAGATGCTGCCTTTGTATCTGTTGTACTGGGTCGCTTCAAGGTGGGAGACAAATACAACCGGACATTAAAAAATACCACAGAGACAAATAAAACAACAGAGATCTCTGCTACAACAGTACTTTCCTCCTATAACTGTGATAGAACAACATTTTTTAATACATTTATGGGCAATGCCAATGTAACCACGAAGCGCCGTAGGACAAAGATACAGCCCTGCGTATACAGAACTGTGTAAAGGTTCATCTACCCTTTTCTGCAGCTTAGTTCCCATTTAGGTGTTTATGGACAATTTGGAGAACCAGATCCTTAAAAAATAATTTCCACCCCTGCTGGGCTGTTTTTATTTTTGCCTGTATCAAGATACTGCACATACAGTACCTTGTCATATACACTAGTTTATTTGTGTAAATGTTGGACACAAACCTTTGGTTCTGCAGATTTCAATCAGATTGACCACATTTTCATGTTTAAGCAGCTGCAGGATCTTGATTTCTCTTAGTGCTGTGATGGGAAACTGGAAACAAAGTTGAGACAGGGTGAGATATGAACCCCCCTCTAGGACCAAATCCCAGGTAAAACAAATTATTTTGCAAAGGTAACCAAATGTCTCTTACCCCCTCCTTCTCATTTTCCATGAGAACCTTCTTCAGTGCGACCTTCTTCCCCGTCTGTCTGTGCTTGGCTTTGAACACCTCACTGAAGAAAGAGAGAATAGAGAGAATAGAAAAGAGATATTCCAGGGAATTCTGGTTTTTACAACTTGTTACAATTGACAGTATTTTCTTTTATCATTACCCTACCCCCTTACAATCTATACAAATGGATTTAAGGACCCAATGGGTGAACTAAAGCTAACAACATAACACCGCTGCTAGGACAAACAGACAATAGTAAAAGGCTGGGTTGGATACAAAGAGGGTGATGATTCAAAACTATTTAGCAAATATTAAACGAAATACGAGGGGAATATGCGTAATATATGCAACAACACCAAGAAAAGTATATCATCTCTTTCAAAACAGATTTTTAATAAATACCTAGGTGTGTACAAATGATAAGAGTTGGGTCTTTTGGGGCAGCTTTTATTGACCTGGTTGCTTGTTTTTCTCGCGAGATCTGGCAACACTAAGTCTGAAGTGGGGTTAAAACCAAACTCGCCAGAGAGAAAGCAGGGTCCTACATGCTAGCTTTAATGTAAGGAGAAAAACTGTGTCCATCGTTGGAACTAACATTCGAATTCGGATTAAAGGCTCAGTCCTTGGTAATGCAAGTTCTTTTTTTAATTGTAATTATGACAAAACAATGTGAAATTCCGTTCCAATGTCGTCAATTAAACATAAAGTATCCCCGCCACTGTAGCTCTGTACTGAGACAGCTCTCTAGTCTGTCAACTAGAAAATAAACAAGAGTTAGCAGTCACACATGTAACCACACAAATGCCGCTTCACTGCTCACCCAAAGGTGCCCTGTCCAATTTTGGCCATTTTTTCATATTTAGAAAATTCGTCACAGAAAGGAAATTCAACTCCGTCGTAGTATTTGGACATGATGGCGGCCTCCCGATCGGGCCTGCAGTGGAAAGATTCAACTCAACATTAGTCACTGTATATCAAAACTGAGTTGAATTTAGGTAAGGAATGGTAATAAAGTGTCACCGTTGACTGTCAGAATAATTACAATTTCCCATTTTCTTACTTTTCAGCCGCATTGGCGTTGGTTGTTCTCTCTCGCTGCATCTTGGTAAGATCCCTGAACAACACTGATGGTGTGTTTAAGTGCAACTCGGTCTCTACAGCACTTTATGCGGTTTAAGAAACAAACCCTTTTTTTGTTATCAATATGTGATCGAATAAAATGAATTATATATATCCATAACAGTAACATAAATGTGAATAAGCGGATTACAGTATAATTTCATTAAATCAAAACCATATATATGTAGTGAATTAAATTATCAAATATCTTTGTTGTTTTGCCATTTTTCGAAATACAGAAAGAGAAAAAAAACAAAGAGAGAAAAGTAGTTTCCCACTATATTTCCTACTTTTACTCTGTCAAATTATGTGTCGTAAGTGCTTCAGTGTAAGTAAGTAACAGTTTTTTAATTAACACATCGTCTTTCCAGTAATCTCTGAGTAAGCGAAGGCAGCAATAATCGACCTCCGCCTTGAGGGGAACAGGCAGCGACTCCTGGTGACTTGGAGGAAAATTATCTTTATATGCCGTTCCTTAGGAGTAAATCCCCCTTATATGGAAGACGTATATATATATACAGTTTGAGTATGATAACAAATCAGAGCTTTAAGATTTACGTTTACATTTATTGTGCAATGTTTTCATCCATTTTCTGGAGGAACTAAATAATAAAAGATCAGTGGTGCTCTTAGCCTATGCGGTGCCCTGGGCCAGCCCTCCTTTTTTCCCCTTCCTCAACCCTCACCTCATCATTGGAAGGATGTCCGATATTAACTTGATATTGTCCAATCACCTAATTTCCGATTCCGATATCAGCCGGTACCGATATAGCGGGGTGGTGGTAGACTGACCCCCTGTCCCGCTTCACGCTGTATTGCACCACAATTTTGAAGACTTTTGTCCCACTCTTTCATTCAACATTACTAAATTTAAAAAATCAACTATTCTATGTGCCTGTCTGTCTATGGGCACGACTATCACTGCAGTCCATAGCAATGATAGATCACTTCGTGGATAGGGCAGTAGCTGACAGGCTGAGTGGTGTGTCAATCAAAATAAACAAAGGGTCATTTTGCACATAGCTGTATAGTTATACAACGATGCAGAATATTTATTAATGGCCACTCATTCTCGTTTAGTATGTTTTAACATTTGGTTGCTTTTTTTTGCTACCAATGTGTTTCAGAAACGTGCTATCCATAGTGTTGAGAAAGGTTGATGGCCTGCCACCTGCTGGATTGTAATGCAAAATCTGTTTGTTGGCGGTGAGGTATTTTATTTTCATGTTCTCTTCACAGATGGCCATATTGAAATTGTTTAATTTTTCATCACGTTTGTTGTGCGTTATCTGCTTATTTTATGTTAAATGTGGAAGAATTAGGATAATGTATAAATAAATACGTTACATTGCAGCATGTGTTTTGTGGGGGTAAAAGGCGAGATACAGTAGGTGCATTTAATTGGTTAAAAAAAAAAAAGAAAAATTACTGCAATTGTCTTCAAAAAAGTTCTTCAGAGCACCGAGGCATCTGACTGGTCTGTCGCCAGGGCATTAAACTATTTTAGGGCACACATCATTTCATTTTTTTTTTAAATCGGACATTCCTAGGCTTTTGTTCACACAAACTATTATCGTATTTGACACAGTAGCACACATATTAATCATCAAAAACATTTCCACTTATAATTTGAAAAACTAAATCAACCAAAAAGCAGCATACATGACTTAGGGCTAAAATGTTTCCTTATCTTTGTGGGTAATAAGAAGTTTGGATACTCGCTTTTTTGTATTTTAATTTAAACTGGAAAGTATGGATACATCAATTAATTATACATGATTTAATTATATGTATATATTTATTGTTGTTTCTCATAAAATGATCACTCACAAAATAATTTAGAAAGCAATTAAAAATAAAAAAGGGCAACTTGGATACACACGAGGTTGTCACGCAAATGTTATTTTATTACTTCATAAACCCACTAAATAAATTAAATACACACAAAAGTAAAACAGATGTTAAACAGATGTATAATAGTTATTGATATATTACATGGTATGACAATATTGAATCAATTCATTGTCACCTTAATATGGACATAAGAATTAATAGGTGTTAAATTAATAAGAATATGAAGTTAAAGAAGGCTACTTTATGACGTGACGTGGCCAGGGTGTACTTCTACTTCCTGTCTTACACTCGTAACCATTCTCTATATAATTGCTCACATTACTAATTTTTATGTGAAAAGTACGCAACAAACTAAGGCCATAACTAAGATAAAAATCTAGAAAAGTGTTCGGTGGAGTTTCCGAAGCTGACCGTGGCCTTCCCGTGACGTCATTACGCGCATGACGATTCCTCGCTTCTTCGGGCAGGCAGGGCTTACTGTGACAGCTCGACGCCCCATGATGGTGTACATGTCGCGCGTGATGAAACGTGGTTTCATATTTTCCGGCCAGCTCGTCAGGCGGTATTGTGCTGGTGAAGTGGCGGGCTTTTCCTTCAGATACTACGGCACCAGGACGGCTCCGCAAACGACGGGCATGGAGTACCAGGTAATTGCCAAGTAAAACGTGTCTGTCGGCCGGCGTTTGCAACCAGCTGCTACCGTAGGAAGCTAGCGAATCAGTAACACGGGAGAAGTTTGAGACAACAATGTGATTACACTGAAACGTGTCAAATAAAGAGCTGTTCCGTGAGCACTGCTGCTGTCAGCCGAGCTAACTTATCACACAGTTGTTCATTGTTAGTAGCTGGTGGCTGGGTCACAGCGCTGTGGAGAGGAGCGTGGACGAGGCTGACTGTCACTGAACGCTGCCTTATTTCAACACAGGCTGACCGAATGCCAAGACTACGGTGCGCTGACACGTGCTCGGTCGTCTCCTATCGTGGTATAATTTTAATATTTACCCTTGACTACAACGGTCACAGGTGTTGCCTTGTTATAAAATGTATTTAAAAAATAATAGCGGTCTGTTAATGGTAGTAAACCTAATGGTCCAACTTTACGTTTAAGCTGCAAAAGTTATCAGATTCAGTAGATTGTGTGTAGTACTTGTGAGGACTCGGGGTCGATGAAGAATTCCACGGTTCTACTTGTTAACGTTAAAATCAACGTTTTGACAGCTTTTGTTGACACCGTTGATAGTTGTTGATGACACTGCCACGTAGCTCTGCAATGTTTACATTTAGGCGCTGAACACAAATCATTGACCGCGTAAGTACGAATGCCAAGAAAGAGAGGAAAAACGTGACGATGTCAAAGACAAAGTGACAGCTGACACGAAGTAGCTAGTTACACATATCAAGTGCTAATAACACCTTTGTACAAATGCAGAAAAATACATGAATCATATTCAGATGTATTGTAATAACAGTACAAGACTAGTGTTTTTAAGAAAAAATATTTCCAGACATCTTTATTCAGTCCTGTGTTTTATGAGACCTTAAACCCTCGAGAGCAGTGTTGTGTTTTTTATTATTAATGTGGCCCTAATAGCAAAATAACTTTGGAATGATGAGAGATGTAAGTTAGTAACTTTCTGGATAGCATATGTACTTAACACAAATGATCTTCAGGACCTCTTTGTGACACATTTATACTGTCACATCAGTCAAAAATCAGTGCTGTTTTAACTGGGTGAACACTGATGTTTCAGGATTTGGCCTCAGCCCCAGACTCACACAAAAGTATGTATATATTTTTTTAGTCAGAATCTTAATTTTTTCTGTAATTTTTTTGTCCTTTTTCCATGTAACAATAATAATAAGAGATACATTATCGGCCAGCCTATATTTGACTCCTCAGCCCCGGAGAGTGCCTCATACACTTGAGTTGTTTCATATCAAATCTACATCATTAAATATCCCTTAATATATTTTTTAAAAGTATTATTTATTTCATTTTAGACTAAATGGTGACTTTTTGTCTAAAATTGGAAAATACCAGGGTTGTCAACAGGGTTGTCTTGTGTATTTTGCTGCTCTGTTTGTCAACACTACTACTGATTCAAGTGTACTGATACATTATTATTATTAATTATGATGGATTATTATTATTATTATTATATGAAATTAATCCTGTTACTTCCCCAAAGTCTTTTACACCAAAAACAATTCACATCTAACTTAGCAGTATTCTAACAAATGCACCTCATTCCAGACGTGTCTGAGCTCTCTGCGTGTTGCTAGAGCCGTAGTACCCGGGCAGGAAGGAGTGACCACAGATGAACAGCTCAAGTGGCCGTACGGCTAAAATTATCTCCACTCTTTATAGATGCTCTACACACGAGCATGATGTTCCACAACGTGAAATTGACGCTGCATTTTGAAAAGCCTCCTTAAGGACTGTGGGCAGTGGGGAAGGGGTGTAACTGCCTCAACCATATATGTCAAACCCAAGGCCCGCAGGTCCAATCTTGCCCCCACATCAATTTATGTGGCCCAGCAGAGCCTGCCATGCATATGGTTGTCTAATCAATTCCAGTCAAGTGTATGTTTACCATAAACATTAATCACATTAATCACATAAATCTCAAGTGTAAAAACATTTACAAAAGGTAGAAGGCTAATATCTGTTTGTGTTTGAAGGGAAAAACCAGTGTCTTTTGTGTCATGATGCAGTGTCGGTGATGAAGCAGCACAAACAAGGAGATGGGATGTGTGCTAAATTTGGCCTCCAAGAAAAACAGCAAATGGTCAAGAATTAAACAGCAAACTGCAGCTGCAGCAGGCGATGTCCTCTAAATCTACAGCCAATAATGACGCAGCAGTCAAAGCAAAGCACTAGACTGTTAAATACATCCTGTTCCCATACCATAGGTCGCCTCACCAGTTATCAAGCAGTAATCTGATTTGGTTGGAAAATATGAGCGAGTGGGATGATCTAAGTGGCCCAAAATACCCTCTAGAGTACTGCTGAATGAAAATGAAATGCTGAATCTTTGTGTCTTTGCCACAGGATGCAGTGTGCACCCTCAACACCTTACAGACCAATGCCAGTGCACTGGAGCAGGTACGGAGGGAGCGCGGCCACCCTCAGCTGCAGCTCCAGGCCATGCAGGGCTTCTTGGAGAGAGCTGGTCTCACTGTGAGTTGACTCCGTCGGCTGACGTGGTACACAGGTCGTGTTTGTCAAACACAAAGGATGGCGTAAACTGTGCTGTTTTCTGTTTGTTCAGAGTCCTTTGCTCTTATCTAATGTGTTTGTTTTGTGTTTCAAAGGTGGAGGAATTAGATCATCTTAATATTATTCATGTGACTGGAACTAAGGGCAAGGTGAGGCGACAGAAGTTACTCATGTTTGCTGTTGGATTAATTCACTGACCTTTGGTCATTTACTCAAGCTCTGATAAGAATCACTCACCACATTCATCTATGATTTTCATCTGACTTGACTTACCTTTGGTAATTAGATCGCCTTCATACCATTACGTAATCTCTGACATGTAAACATACCTTAGTGTTGTCATTTTTGTTTTGTATTTGTATGTAGGGGTCAACGTGTGCCTTCACTGAGCAGATTCTCAGGGGTTATGGATTCCGCACAGGATTTTACAGGTAAAACTGTTAAATACTAAGAGATGAAACAAAAAGGAGCAAACTCTGCTATTTAAATCGCTAGGCTTAATAATTTAGATTAAGCTATCAGAGCTGATCAAATAAAATCTTATACAGCTTGAACTGAAGATTAAATATAGACACAAAACACTTGTCTTAGAACTTTATGACTTACCCGCCAACATCCTGAAGCAACAAAAGCGTCATGTGAAGCAGTGGTCAGCAGTAGGTGGACAAAGGGCAACAATTGGCCCATCAAATTCCTTCAAGTATTTGTACCGTATTTTCCGGACTATAAGTCGCAGCAGCCAAAGGAAGAAAAAAAGTGTGACTTACAGGAGTAGCAGATAGTAGTACACAAGCCTAGAGTGCCCTCTAGCGGCTGTCGGTGTGGAAAAAAAACAACCTATGACATTATATTTTTTAATATATAAGTCGCAAAAGCAGCCAAAGGATGATAAAACATTGCGACTTATCAGCTACTATCTATTACTATTACACATTGAATTGGCTTAGTGATGTCATTGGAGGTTATACAAACCCAGCTATATCATTGGGTTTGTATAAAAAAAACACTTCCTGTGTCCCAGTTCCATTAAAATGTCAAAGTTCACCTGTATTAAAAAGATATTTTGTATCAATGATCCAAATTTAACAGACATTGAATTCTGTCTGTTAGTTTAAACCATGCAGCCTAAACAAGTATTCTGATGTGTTCTCCAGGCTGTGGTTTTTAAAGCTGTTCTGTTTGTGTGTTTGCAGTTCTCCACACTTGGTTCAAGTAAGAGAGAGGATCAGAATAAATGGGCAGCCCATTGGAAAAGATCTCTTCACTAAATACTTCTGGCAAGTTTATGGGAAGCTGGATGAAACCAAAGTAGGTGAAGTGATGCGTCCTGCTATCAAGCTGCCAACCTGTTGTCATAGTAGAGGCAGCGCAGTGAAACTAATCATGGTTGACTGAACTGATTTTGCTGAGTCATCCTTAATCGTTTCAGTGTAACCATGGACAGTATTTAGAGTTTATCCAACAGACTAAAGCCTGTGTTGTCGGTGCAAGAATTAAATCACAGTAACGTCTTAATATTGGTTCCGCGGTCGAGCGGTTGGCACGCCTGCCTTGCAAGCACAGACTCCTGGTTCTCCTCCATGAGGAACCACCTGTTACTAATGGCGCCCCCTGTGGCAACCTGTGTCAGTTGCAAAAAAAAAAAAAACTGTAAATTTCCCCACTGTGGGACAAAAAAAGGACTCAATTATTATTGTTATTATTATATTGTACAGTTTTAAAACAAAGCCATAACTGTATTTACAATAAAATGAATAACAAATTAAACATTCAATATTTAATTGTAGTACAATAATATGAGATTGTAGTGATTTTGTGATCATTTATTTAATGTTTATGATTATTTTGGTCTTATTTCAGCTGTGTTCCACATAGTAAATGTCCACTAATGTACTGCGTTCACAAGGAAACAGTCTGAAGGTTTTTAGTGATGAAGTATGATCTGATATGTGGACATAAAGTCTGTTCTTCCTGAGAAGGATGGACTAGAAAACAACATGACGGGCAGTGACCTGAAGCTCACGGGTCAGCGCCTCTATGCCCTCTGTCAACTTCCTCTTTCCTGCTTCACTTAACTCATTAACTACTGTAGCTGAAATAAATCAGCTGAGCTTGGGCTTAATCCCTGACGCAGCTGAGAATGGAGGAAAATTAAGAGCGTATCCGTGTGTACTGTGTTCAGTTACAACCAGAAATTGCCGATTTCAGGCAAATTCTGAGATGTCAGTTTAAAAATTGATCCAACTGTGGATCAATGTTCATCAATTTTCCAACCAATGGTTTACCAGTAATCTTCACAACAGAACTGCTGTCGTAACAGTAGGTCTGAGTCTGTGTTTTCATCACAGTCTTCCTGACCTTTGCTCCACAAAATAATATCAACACCAATTCCTCTGCGTATAAAACTTTGAACCACAGCAAGGCCACAGTACATGAAGACAAACTCAAGTCCTGGCAGGGATTTTGATCCTGTAGTTAAGACAGAGTGGCGTTGAATGGGTTTAATGTGCATTGCATGACTCTGCCTGACCCACATGATCCTGACACTCAACCACAGAACAATGTTAAAAGCACAGCTGCTCTTGACCTGTGGAGTAGATAAAACAGACTGTCAAGTTTGGATTTGGAACTATAATTATTAATGATCTGAAAGTGTCAGTCATTTTGGTGCCAATAATGTCTTAAATGTGACTGTTGGAGGTCTCTATGTCTCCTTTTTATTTTCAGCTGTGGAATAGAGGTGTAATTGAATCAGTCTAAATGGTTGACTTCATGTTAGGACGTGACTTTCATGTGACAGTGGTCACTGGTCACAATGCAGCATTTCAGTACAGTTACATGGTGCTGTTTGACATGTGGAATGGCCAGCCCTCCATTCTTGGTGTAGGTTTTAGATTTGTTGTTAAGGACACTCTGTGTGTACATGTTTGTACTGTCACACACCTCAACACCTCAACAGTCCGTTTCATACGCACAGTAGTGCACAGTAAACTAACCAGACTCATAGTCCGGCTTCTGAATGCATATTTGAATTATTCCCATTAACCTCTCTTTTATTTTTACCTTTCACCCCAGGACGCACATGGAGGAGCAATGCCAGCCTACTTCCGTTTTCTTACCATCCTGGCTTTCCATGTGTTTCTCCAAGAAAAGGTTCATCAGCAGCTTTGTCTGTCTCTATATCTATTTATGTGTTATTTATATTTGCTCTGACTGAGAATCTGGGACTCTAAACTAGACAAAGTGACGTTGTTGTTTGTTATTATGGTTTAACACAAGAAAATATAATTTAATCAACACAAGAAATATAATTTAAACTTAATTTAGCTTTTCCATAACCATTTCTCCTCTGTTCCATTTGCAGGTGGATGTAGCTATAATCGAAGTAGGAATTGGTGGAGCCTACGACTGTACTAATATTATAAGGTAATGACGCTTGGTGAGAGCTTTCTTTATTATTCAATTTAAAAACATACTTTTTCTAACAGGGGCGACTAGTTATTTGGTTGGTTCCATGGTGTAGTGGTTAGCATGCCTGCCTCGGGAACAGAGAGTCCTGGGTTTGATTCCCTGAGGAACCACATGTTTGGCACCTGTTAACGGCATATCTGCTGCTAACACAGGAGTTAAAAAAAAAAAACTTAGTTGACACTAACAAATTATACGTAAACATTCTTTTAAGTATAGTTTAATTTACATGATGAAACTATAATAAACCTCCTCCTGGTGCCTTTGTCTGGACAGGAGACCCTGGGTTTGTGGCATCTCCTCTCTGGGTATAGACCATACACAGATTCTTGGAGACACGATCGAAAAGATTGCGTGGCAGAAAGGAGGCATTTTTAAGGTGGGTTTCACACACAACTGACTTGTTAATGGAAAGATTATTTGTAGAGACATTTTTGTTGGTGTGCCCTGGGATTTTTCTAATGTAAAATAAGAGTTGTGGCTCAAAACGGTTGGTGAACACTGGTCCAAACTTACATCCAGAATGTATTATTTAAAGCTGGTTTAGACACTTTATTGTATTTTTAGGTCTTCATCCCTGCTGCGGTACATGATGTATTTTGTGCGTTTTTAAAAATATCTTTTTAATTTCTAGCTGGATGTTCCTGCATACACTGTCAAACAACAAGAAAACGCTCTGGCTGTACTCAAAGAAAGAGCCAAGGAGATAAAAGTAAGTAACTGCACATCCTGATACTGAACATATCATGAAATATTAATAAACTGAATTTCTCAGTCCGACTTTGAATGTACTACAGAGGGACATTATTATTATTATTATTTCTGTTATTGTTGGGGGCAGTCAAAACGAATGCTTTACCCACAATAATTAATTAGTGAAGTTATGTTAAAGAAAGGTTAATGTGTTTTCAATGACCACACTGTGAATCCAACATTTTTAAGTATTAACTTTTGTTCTGCCTAGTTAGAAGAGCAGTTATAGAACCTGTTCCTTCCATTGTAAACCATAAGTCCAGCTTGGAGATCACTAATACAGAACTGAAACTCACAACAGTTATATTTCTGTTTCTGTATCCTGTGTCAGCCTGTGACTTCAGTGTTAACAAACATCAGTGAAACCAGGCAGTCTCTTTGGTTTTTTTTCCCTCAAACGTAGACATTTGTTGTGCACTCTGACCATTTTTTGTTGTTGCTGTACCAGTGCCCGCTGTGGTTGTGTCCAGAACTGCAGGACTATAAGACAGAGGGTGAACCTTTACACCTGGGACTGGCCGGTGCTCACCAGTGCTCCAACGCCTCGCTGGCTCTCCAGCTGAGTCACAGCTGGCTGCAGAGGAGATGTTCATCAGGTGGGTTTTTTATTTTGTATTTAAGGAAATACAAATGGCAATTACACCATAGAGGCCTCGTTGGCGCAGTAGGCAGCGCGTCAGTCTCATAATCTGAAGGTCGTGAGTTCGAGCCTCACACGGGGCAACAACATTTTCCCTTTGGGATCGATAAAGGATTCATCATCTGTCAATAAAGTTGATCCATATAAAAACCTAACAGCTAACAAACAAAGAGGTTCTCAGTGCTACAATATAACATGTCACAGTCTAGCATATGTATGTGTACATGTATACACATATATATTTATAGTATATATGAGAGAGAGAGAGAATTGAATGAAACTTGTAAATGTATTTGTCTAACAACATTTCCTCTCTCAGCTACCACTGGTTCTTCATCCATCACTGGTGAGAACACCCCTGGTACGCAGCAGGCTGCAACCATCAAGCTCAGCCCTGTCATGGTCAAAGGTGAGTCAGTGTAGCAAACATTTTTAGTTTGATGGACGGAGCTCATGTAACACATCACTGTGTTTTATATATATATATATATATAATTTTTTTTTTTTTTATATGCGTATTGTCGATACCAGGGCTGGCAGATACGGCAGATACAGACTGGCCTGGCAGGACCCAGACCCTCAAACACGGAGCAGTCACCTACTTCCTGGATGGGGCCCACACGATGCGCAGCATGCAGGCCTGTGTCGAGTGGTTTAAAGAGACCGCAGCACAGCATGAGAGTAAAGCAAAGTAAATCTCACCTCACCTGCACCAGAATTTATTGTACTTTTTTGTTCACAGTAACTTTAATAGTAAAATATGGATATAAATATATATAAAGATCTGTGATGGTTGTTTTCCCCTCAAAGTCAAGTTATTGGTAAGCTGACAAGTGAACAAAAAGGGCCCCAGAGTGGATCCCTGTTACACCCCACTTCTACCTGGATCTGTCCTTCAGACAGCACACTTAACCTCGGCTAGATTAAAAGGCCAAAGGGGCAACATCAGGCCCTCGGGCCGTAGTTTGCCCATGCCTGCCGTGGAGTCACATGTTGTCTGGTTTCTGTGTTGCAGTGGACCTGTCGCCAGAGTTTTGCTTTTCAACGCCACAGGAGAGAGAGATTCAGCAGCCATGCTCAAACTACTGGTGGTAAGAGCAACTGTTGACTCTCAGAAGATGAAGATGAGGAAGATGATGTGGTTAAATCAGTATTTTAGAAACACTTGAATCGGTTCTAGAACCTGTTAGTGGCCATTCAAGATGAAGAGTAACAGCTGTGAGATAGAGTGAACAGCACTTAATATCATGCCACGTGCACAAAAGCAAAGGCATTAATCTAGAGGCACAGAGCTGCCCTCTGCTGGATTACAGAGGAACTGTAAAGTGTTGGGGGAATGTTTCAAAATTCAAGTCAGATAATGGAGTGAATTTGAAGGTGGTGGTGGTGCAGGGGTGACCCCTGACCTTTTCATTTTATAGCTAGACTACAGTTGATATTGATTGTACATTTTAAAGCTAGTAGATGAATACAGAGTACGTGATAACTTCAGATTGATTTTTTGTTTTTTTAAAGCCTTGTCATTTTGACTTTGCCGTCTTCTGTCCAAACATTGCTGAAGCTGTCACGTCAGGTACTGCAGGTAAGTGCATGTTATATGATTTTTATTATTTCTTTTGTTAAATAATTGTTTTAATCTACACCAACAATCCACAACAATCTGTTTTTTAGTTGTTGTTTTTTCTTCCTACTTTTTACAAACAGTATGATGGCGGACATTTGGACCATTCTGCTGTGATACATGTTGCTTTATCAAACATAAAGCTTAAACTTGTGTAACGTTTTGGTCTAAAAACAAAACCCTGAATGTTGCAATTTTTGAAGAGCAACCTCTGTCTCCCCCTGCTGTTAGATTAAAGTTTTACACTAGTCCCTTTTTAAGTACCACGTAGTTTTCCAAGCTTCTTCCAAATACTAAATAATCCTGTGCCTTCAGACCAGCAGAACTTTAACGTGTCAGTGGAGAACATGCTGACCCGTTGTCTGGACAATGAGAGGAGTTGGTGTCTCCACCACAGCAAGGACGACCTGCAGCTGCTCATAGAAGACTCTCTGTCCCTGGTCCCACAGAAGAAAGCCGACACGCTGGTGTTCCCCTGCATTCTTAGTGCCCTGCAGTGGATCAGCCAGGGCAGGGACTCGGTTCTGGCCAGCTCGGACAAAAGAGTCTTAAAAGTGAAACCCAGCATCATGGTCAAAGCCGCTCCGCTGCGCTCTGCAACCGAGATCCACGTCCTGATCACAGGAAGTCTCCACCTGGTGGGAGGGGCGCTCAGACACCTGGACCCCGTCTTCTCTGAGTAGCTTCTCCAGTGGATTCTGAAGGCTGGAAAAATAAATGGCTGCTCCTCATCCTGGCCTGTAGAGGTCACAGTCGGACAGAGACGGCAGGTGTTTACTTGAAAAGCTGAACTCGGCCGTTTTTCTTGTCATTCTCTTCGACAGTAGACGCTGCTCAGAGGTAGTTGATGTGGACTAGAGCTGTCACTGTTTAAATAACCTTTTTTTTTGTGGTCAACCATGTATTTGAACCTGTTCTTCTGCCGCACGCACTACTACACAAACTAATTCCTCACATTTGGGTATTGTAATTTTGTTATTGAAGGCTTTCCTTGCAGGCCTGTGGCAAAGTGTCTGCTAAACCGTAGGTGCTGATGTGAGTGTGACGCCACGTGATATAGAGCAGTTTAAATGTCCCTGTCACTGTGAGCCTCAAACTGAAGGTTCTTCTGGGCCACATGTCCAGATCACAGGTTCTCCTCAGGATCAACACAGAGACAAATGACTGTTCACACTGTCATTCACACCATCAATCAGTGACTTTCGCTGGACAATGGGGGGAAGAAGAAAAACGAACCTTAAAACTCCACACAGTGACACAGTCCCTTTAACCAGGACCAACTGTGACCCACTGTCACTGTGTGGCTCTTTATAGACTGCATCTGTCAGACCACATATCTCATCGTCTGCTGTGCTCAACCCAAAATAGTGTTCAGGAGGGCTGTAACCGTGCACACAGTAAACTCCCATCATCCTCTGCCCTCACAGACCTGATAACATTAATAATCACACCTGTCCAGAGCACAGTCTGCTGTAGGCGGTGCCTCACTTGGTGTTTGATTAAACAGTGACAGCTCCAGTGTGGACCAGGGCACCTACAGCTAACCCCCGTCCCACCCCCCGTGCCCCACCTCACAGTTGGCACACTGATGTGTGCAGCTCATGTCTCACACAAGGCCTTGTGTGTTGAGATCAGTCACAGCCATTCATGGAAACGAGGGAAGGACATAGTTGCAGTTAATTGAAAATCTTGAGTCTTAATTTACTCGGACTTTTGTGCATATGTTTACATTGTCAGCTGTGACCTCACAGCTGAAGGTTTTTGTTTGTTTTGTTTTTCTTATCCAACCACACAGCAGTGTGGGACCACGGCTAGGTTAGAGGTGGTCTCTGTGTGGGAAGCCAACACTAACAGATTATCATCTGCCAGCTGTTCTTTATATCACAGCCACATACAGTAACACTAGTGAGACACACTGGTGCTATACAGTGTTTGAAGTGATGAGTGGTCAGATCAGTGCCAGTAATACCTCACACTATCACTTGGACTTGAAAATAAAATTAAAAAAAAAAAATATTTATGTGGCTTCTGGTACACTGTGATAGGACACTGTGATGTCTGTCTGTGGGCTGTAAACAGTACCTGGTACATGTGGTTTGTAGTGTGACATCAGTGACTGGGTGGAATAATGGATTATTATGTGATTAATGCTGGAGTGAGTCCAGCATTTATGTTCAAAATCCTTTGGACTGACAGAAGTTTTTTTTCTTCTAATTGCGTACAGTACATGGTAGTGATGCAGTCATCGCTGACTCAGCTGTTTTTGTTTTCTGGGCCTGTACATAGAGAGACCTGGTCAGATGGACTGGCTGTGATTGACATGTCTCTGATCTACTGCTTTGTTCGCAGACCTGTCTGTGATTGGTTCATAACTATTGAAGTGTTACTTTAAACAATCACAGGAGTGAAAGTAATGCAGGAAATAATTTTGCAGTTACAGCAACGAGGTGACTGGATTGTTCTGTGTGACAGAATACATTGGATATGAGAAGACTACTCTAGTAGTCAAATTGATAGTCATGTTTTAGGGGATTTTTGTAACTTGTACAAATTATATAAAATTAACGGAAAAATACTTCACGGACATTCAGAATAAACAAACAGCTTGTCTTAAAGTACTATATTTTATTAAAGTTTTTCTAAAACCATTGCTTGGCACTTGAGTACTCAGACTTTGTTGTTTCTATAAATTGTGTATCCTGAGCTCTGATTGGACGGACACACCTGTCTGTCAACACCCGTCATGCTCTTAATGTTGCAATTAAAAGCAAGTGACGAGTGCATTAATAATAAAAAAATGGGGGAAAAAAGTCTTTATTTATGAAAGAACAACAAAGCTGGTACTCCAGAAAACTTCCATCAAAGAATCTTTTTTTCCTAGAATGCTGGAGGATGTTCTGCTTCTTTACCAAGAAATCAAGTTTTTGTTAAATGTTTGTCCAGTTTTGGGAAAAGCAAAGGGTTTTTTATTGATTTATAATCTTTGTTAATGCAAAAATGGCATAAACTTTCACATTTTTGTTAAAAATTTAGTTTAACAGACTGGTCAAACAAAATGTAACAGCTTAAAACTGGACATTTAATGATAAAACTGGTCAAAGCAGATGTTTTAGTTAAATTAAAATCAGACACCATTAGAAATCTTTAATGTCTGACTTGGAACTTTTTGACTAACTCTCGTCATGTTAAACAGCCTTAAAAACAGTTATTCCTTTTTTTTAAAATGATACTTATTAAAAATAACGCCATCAAATGGTGCCATGTTCCTCATTACATTTTTAACTGTTGACTTTGTTAGTTTAAACAGATATAAACACTTGACCTGTTGTGTAACATCAGATATGGTTGTTTCCACTGGGATTTTGAACAGATGTTTTACCTGTGATTGAATGTTATCCATACAATATTCATTATAGTAAAAAAAAATCCACATTGTCTCAAAATTCTAATGGACCTGAAACCTTGAATTTCACAAAATAATATTAAAAAAAATGATTTTCTTCTTATTCTTTGATGAAACTACACTAATGATATTAAAGATGGAGAAATGATTGAAAATATTGTCATTAACAAAGGGTTAAATACATACTTTGTTTACTTTTAACCTATTTGCCTTTGTAAAGGAAAAAAACAACCTTTTTTTAAATGTTATTACTTGAATATAATTAAAGTCAAATAATAAAACATATTGGCTGTGCATTTTGCTTTTATTATAATATTCAGAACCAGAGTTCAAAGTTAATATTAATATTTTCTCAGTTGTTTTTTTAAATTATTTATTTGATTTGTATTTTTATTTCCATCCAAGGCTTTGACTTTTCAATAGTTGTTTCTGCATTAAGGGGGCGCTCTCAGGCAACTGACCCATGTTTGGGGTCTTTCACCTACATCAACATTGGATTATATACCACTTGACAATTTTTAATTTAACACCGTTTGTTTGGGGTTTTCCATTTAACACAAATAAACTGTGTGATGGTTGCAGTGACTGAACTGTGTAGGCCAGGCTCCACTGTTGTCACTAATAATAGACCTACTGGCCTACTGACAATGCTGTCTGTCTCGTTTGCTTTCCATTTCTCATTTACTTCTGTTTACATTTAAATGAGGAGACGATCAAACACTGGATTAACATTCCGGTTTTCAGTTTTGTAAATGTTTGAGATCTTTTTGTTAAGAGCAGTAGATTGTGGAAAGTAGGAAGAACTAATGACTAATGTTGACTTTGTATTGTAATTGAATATACAATCCAATAATCATAATTAGATCATAATTCGATTACAATAGTTATATGTATATATTTAACTATTAACTTTTTGCCGATATCCGATATGGTGATATTTTTCGAACATCTAATTTCCGATACTTATATCAACCAATAACTAATATTTATTTGTTTATCTGTACTAACCACTGTAGGAGTTGCTGGCACCAGCATTCTTTATACAACCCCCTGATTATTATAAATAATAAATGAATGAAATGAGCTGCAATGCTGCCATCTGGTGACTTATACAGCCGTTTATCCCCAAAACTATTTTTAGGTCACATATAAAGCATTGCGTTACGGGGTTTTCATTATCGGAAGTTTATTATTACATAATTATGCTAATATCGGGCCGATTTATCGTACATCCCCGGTTAGTACATTTCTACAGATTCCCCCAGAATGATTGCTCACTGCTTCGGTTAGTGCCTTTCTACATATTCCCCCAGAATGATTGCTCACTGCTTATCTTCCCCCTTAAAAACGCACACACAGTTCTTCAGCAGTTGGGAAGTTTCACATGCCTCATATAAACAGAGTCTGCTGAAGCAGGGCAACATTTTTCCATGACTACAGTCTTTTCCTACTGTCTACTTACTGAATCAACCATAGTGAAATGATTTGTCAACAGAAGAAATACATTCCTCACTTCAGCAATTATCCACTAGGAGGCTCTTAACATATTTCCTTCCATTAAATCCAGGTGACTATTTGGCAGGGCAGCATACATGAAGGGGGTGTGGCAGCAATCTTCATACTTCTTGAGGTAAACAATAACATAATAAAATAAAATCAGCTTAGCTCTACATCTTTTTTCTGCTATTTGTAATTTTGGTCTTGGAAACAATCCACACACCCACCGTTGAACCCCAAACTTAATTGATAAAATATTGGTTTTTATTTGGCACACAGGAGAATCACACAGTTCAAGTTCAATATTTGGAGTTTTTTTTGTAAATATAAAAGAAAGGTTTAGACTTACATTAAGAATGATGGAATGACATATGCCCCTCAGTGGTCCATTTGACCCCAGTAGCCACAGAAACTGCCGTCCATGGATCTGACTTTCAGTCACTAATTCCAAAGTTTTATAACAACATCAAACAGAAAGAACGTGTCCTCAGTGTCTTCTGCTCTGGGTAAACACTGAGAGCATGTTTGTTTTTCTCCTCAACCCTTGATGACACAGGCAGAAAGACAAAGAACAATGTGTATTTGTAACTGAAACGCACTGACAGGCAGCTAAGACTTTGGGCCACATGGTGGAACGATGGTTAGTGCTCTCGCCTAACAACAAACCCTGGGTTCAACTCATGTTCTCATGTTCTCTACATGCTAAACCGATCACAGTAAATGGACTGCAGGTATGAATGAAAGTGTGAGTGGCACTGTGATGGACTGGTCATCTGTCCAGGGTGGACCACATCGTCCCCCCGATGACTTCTGGGAGCAGCTCCAGCTCCCTCTCTCCCCCACCCCCTTCCCATGTCCCTGAAAAAGGATTAAGTGGTGGTTGATGAATAAATAGATGCATGGAAGACTTGACTGCTTTGAGAATTGAGTTACCCCGAAGACGATCTCATGAAATGAAACAAAAAGGTCATGACCCCAAGGAGGGAAGGAATCAGAGGACAGAGCTGCAGGAAGACACCGTGCAGGAGAAGATATTTTTTGTTTTATTTTCTTATATTCTCGTTCCCGTTTTTGAACGACTGGAGGAATCACACCCTGTCACAAAAGAACTCTGACTTTTGATCCAGTTTATTTGGCATTTTGTCCATGCACTGTATACACAACAACAAAACGTAGCCTCTCTATTTAGCCCATGTGTAGCACAGAGACAGTGAGCTACTCTCCACTGCACCCAGGAAGCAGGGGAGGGTTGGGTGCTTCCTCAACAGACCACAGACCTGTCAGCACTAGCCAACAGCAATCCTCCAATCACGAGCCTGAGTCTCTAACCACTAGGCCACAGGTTTGATGACGACCACATCAGCCTGGTCCAGTCCAGGATATTAAACAACATTCAGTGGAACATAACAGGTTACTACGCACCATACAGCTTCGTCTGTTATCTTATCTTAACACTGGGACACACACACATACACAGTGCTAGTTTTGCTGTACTTGTGAGGACAGTGTTTTTGGCCAAATACCACTGTTGTGTTGACACTTTGTCCTTGTGAGACATATTGTAGGTCGCCATTCCACGACAGGATATTTTGAGGTTCAATATTGAATTTGCAGTCCGTATTGGGATTAGAATTAGGATCAAATTACAGTAGATTTAGGCTAAGCATAATGACAAGTCATATGTTTGTAATAGGCCATGATGAGGTAACCTGTGTGTGTATTTGTGTGTGTAGATGTGGGTGTGTGTTCCGCAGTGTCATCAGATCCCAGTAGGGTGTGGCTGTGGCGGTAAATGATCCATCATTGTACCGTGGTGGAAAGCCCTCGGGAAGTGATGTTCTATCTGCATTGCTGGAGTCAAACATCGCTTTGACTGAAAAAACTCAAAACCATAATAATATAATGCTTTTCCCTTTACACGCTGTCACACTGACGTAAATGCACATTTCCCTTCTCTACAAGCAGCATTAGTCAGCTCACAGTCGCACAAAGTGAGAGGTCGTAACTGTAGCTGTGCTTCCTGTTGCCTTTGTGGCGAACACAGGTGATGGATAAGTGTAGTTAGCTAAATGTAAACAATAATGAACATTCTATAGCCGCCGAATATTTTTAAATACGATACTATCAAATTAAGCTTAATGTTAATTCACTCATAGTTAAACGTTAAATTTTAGTAGCATGTTCCTGGACTTTTATTTTGAAAGCAAATTACCGGATGCAGTAAATAGGCACTGCCCTGCCACTTGACGAGTGTTCGTAAATGCGTGTGTTGTCGCAGTTTCAACAGTCTGCTTTGTGAGCAGCAACGGTAGCAGACGTCAGACCACGAAAAGACAGAATTGCAGCCATGGCGCAGGGTCTGAAGGATAGATTTGACCGGTTTCTTCACGAGAAAAATCTGATGACTGATGTTTTGGCCAAAATCGAGACGAGAACTGGAGTCAACAGGACGTACATCGCTTTGGGTGAGTCAGAAAGAGAGAGAAAAGAGGAAGCGGGGTAGACGGAGGAAAGGAACAGAAAACGAGGTGAAAAGAAAATGTCGATGAAGATGAAGATGGTAATCGGTAGTACCGGGAAAAGGCAGCTCATCAGAGGCCTCACACTCGCCGTTACTACACTGTCGCTCCCATTTTAAACATGGAACAACAGAAAGTTGCACTTACGAGTGCTTAAGAGTGTGACGTCATAACGGTGTGTGTGATATGACATATGTATCATGATGTGTTTGCAGCTATCATCGCCGTCATCGCTGTGTACCTGGTCATCGGTTACGGAGCCTCCCTTCTCTGTAATCTTATCGGCTTCTTGTACCCTGCCTACATATCGTAAGAACCACACACACACACACACACACACACACACACACACACACACACACTCTACCCATTACCTCTTTAATCAACGGAACCATCGCAGTACATTTCTAATCTTTATCCTTACCTGTTAGAAAGAACCCTCCGAGGTAACTAAGTCCGTGAACTAACTCCTCTCACCCATACAACACATTAGATTTACATATAACATATGAACAATACATTTTTTTATCTGTTTCATCACAGAATAGGTGTAAATTAAAATTAAATTAATTAAATTATTCAATGAATAATTGAATGATTAGTTGTGGAATAATCACAATGAATGCGGTTAGACTTGATGAAGCTGTTGACCTCTACAGTTTAGTACAGTCGGCTTGTCTTCTCTTATGTTGAAACCCTAGCCAACACATTATATTTTAAGCTCGATCTGACTTAATGTAAAATTCTACCCGCAGTATGCGCAAATGACAACCCGTGTATGGACTGTGTATTGGAGCAACAGGAAGTGGTTGGAAGTTTGAATTTCTGGCGCTGTGTTTGAGCTGCTCCAAACTCACTGTGGCAATGGATCGAAAGCAGAGAACAAATTTCACTGTGTGACAATTAATGACGATGAATCACTTTGACTTTAATTGTTTTTCATGTGACTTTATCACCACGTGTATCAGCAGTCCTTCAATTGTGTGTCAACATCTACAATGTTTGTTGAGCGTCACCTTCTTCTCTGTCTGTATCTGACAGTCCTGTGGCACCTTAGCTTGATCAGCTGTTCCATCTGGACCCAGAGCTAACCAGTCCATGCTCAGCCAAGATGATTCTGTACACTATACAGCACACGCCCCCTGGTTGGACCACGTTAGGTTCCCTCTTGGATCTTACAAATTACCTTTATATATTTGGACTGTCGGAAATAATGCATTATCAATCGCATTAATTAATTTGAGACATTTTGCATTTTAAGGCATGGGCACAAAGATTATGAGTTATTAATTAATCAAAGGAAAACAATAGGAAGGAAGGAACTTATGTGAGGCTACATGAGGATGAAAAATGTATTTCTACATTTGTCAGTGGGTAAAAATGAGACAAAAAAGCCGAAACAGACAAAGTCCAATCAGCACTAAATTCATCATGTTAGCCAGAGGAACAGTAAAGGACGAGAGCGAATCAGAGGTGGGTTCGTTGCTTCGAGGGCGGGACATGTAAATGGGAGAGAACACAGCTAATGTTTGTCCTGTTGTAAAATCAACAGAAGACAGGAACATAGTCTGATGGAAACAATACTGCAGCTCTCTGCTCTCACTCTGCTTTCTCCCTCTTTCCTCTTTTCCTTTGTCTATGTATCTCTCTCTCTCTCTCTCTCTCTCTCTCTGTCTCTCTCTGCCCCTCTCTAATTGAAGCTACATTGCGTTTATTCTGAGAAAAAAAATTCTACTAAAAAATATACTACTACTGTATATATGTACATATATACCGTATATATGTTTTTTATTTGGCTGAGACACACACACACATAAAAGCCACCACACACACACACACACACCCCACACAACAGGCTGAGTAGTGTCGTTAAAAAAAACTTGCTTGAACATGTTTAAACTACTAATACCACATGAAGTAACAGTGACAAAGTATTCTCCAAGTAACTGTTATTCTCATACTCAGATATTTTCCAGATTATTTTCTCAATATATTTGATCCATTTTACAGTTTGTGTATCATATCCAAATTCTTTAGAAACCAAAGAAAGTAAAACAGTTGAATGTGATTTTTTTTTTTTTTACACAAATGGAAACGGGAACCTTTAAACTAAGGAAATGAATGTATCAGTTTAAACGAAACTATTTTTAATAGAGTCTGCGTTTTTTTTTAAGCTTATTCGATTGTTTCTCTGGGATCATTGGTTGAGGTTGTCCTGAATACAGCTTTATTCCCAGTCTCCTGCCCAATGAGGATCTCATGACTCCACAGACACCAGTGACTTCACAGATAATGTCTGCTGTTGATCAAATGTTTTTAAGCCTCTTGAAAGAGTCCTTCTTTTATAAATCTTAATACGCCAAAAATCTTTATCTCTAAATCAGGCTTCTTCAATTCAATGCTGAATTTTGTCCTGTAATTACTGGGACTGCATGCATTAGTTATGATATGAAACACTCAACATGAACTAACATCAGTGGTTCCTCAGTCCCTGGTAGAGAGGACAGTTAGAACAGTATCTGGGTCTGCTATCAGAACCTTGCTCTTATTTTTACAGCTTAGTGAATATAACAGTAAAAAATACAGTCAGAAACCAACAGGAACCTGTCATACTTCATTCCTCCACTGGGGGCAGCAGTTTATTTCTCTCAGATGATGTTGTTTTCGCTCCTTCCAGGATTAAAGCCATTGAAAGTGCCACCAAAGAGGACGATACCAAGTGGCTGACCTACTGGGTGGTCTATGGACTCTTCAGTGTAGCAGAGTTCTTCGCTGACATCTTCCTGTCCTGGTTCCCATTCTACTATATTGGCAAGGTAATGGCTGTGCTGTGGTCTGTGCTGTGGTCTGTGCTATGGTCTGTGGTGGACTGGTCAGAACAAAATCATATTTATATTTTCAAAAACCTGTCTACGTGCAGGAAATTTACTACTACTGTACGTTTACTACATCTACAATAGTTTGACTGACAGTACTACAGTACTACACTCACTCTATACTTCTTATTTTCTCTCTTTTGTTTTCTACATACCATTGTTAGAAGAGTGAGAGACTGTACTGGAAATTACTGAAACTCGTATCTTCACCGAAATGCGTCAGGGAAACATCACTGATTTTAAAAAACCGAGGGAGAAATCGCCTTATTTTGCATGGACTAACATGCAAACTAGGTCACTCCCTGTAAGCAGCCCTCACTGTAACCTGTGGATGGTCGTGTACTGTTCTTATCAAATATAAAAACATACACTGATGGTCAGACTGTAGTAGAAGCTGTGTTTTTGTGGGACATAAACACTTTACTGTATTTTATTATAAATGTTCACTGTTTTAAAATGTGTCATATAAGAAGATGGAGGTTTGAAATATAAAGGGATCCATGTGCAGCTCTGTTGTTGTTACCTGTTCAGTTCCCTGAGGGTGAAACTCCACCCCTGCTGTGTTCACTGGAGAGCCAACACCTTCCTGCAGCTGCTGTGTGTTTAAGTCAACATGTGGAGGGTGGTGCTCACTCCTCTGTTGATAAAGAATATCTGTGTGTTGACTGGAGGCTCAGCCACAGACAGCACTGACCTCGGCCTGAGTTTGTATTTAACTGTGGGCCACTCAGAGGAGTATACACTGACCTGTGTCATAGGACCCGGTGGTAGATGACAGGTCGGTGGAGGTTGGGGGTTCGATCCCTTACCTGGTGTGATTACACATTCAGATTATTTTCTTACCGTTTGCAGGTTGAGGCATAAACTGAAATGAACCAATGAGAGAAATCTGAAAGGGAAGATCCAAGAATTTTTAGTTGTTACATGCACAATCGTGTACAGTAACAGTTGCTTTATATAGATGTACACTATGTGTGTGTATTTATCTAGGCACAAATATTGTTCTTGTGATGACGTTTCTGTTTTTTTTCCCCCAGTGTGCTTTCTTGGTGTGGTGCATGGCACCGACTCCTACCAATGGATCCGTCCTAATTTATAACCGCATCATTCGACCGTTTTTCCTCAAAAATGAAGCCAAGATAGATGATGTGGTGAAGAACCTCAAGGACAAGGCTTCAGATGCTGCTGACAAGATCAAGGATGAGGGTGAGTCAGTTAAAAACTGTTAAAGAGTAAAACGTGTCCAAATGAACACATTTCTATCATCAAAGTTAATGATGTATAAAATCATCCTTACAGTAAAGTATATATCATATTGACAGCAAACAGAACCAAATGTGATAAATTACATGTGACTTACTGATCAGATCTGGTCCATTAAGTAATTGCCTTATGATAAAAGTCCATACCGCTATAGAGCTGATGTTGACTATAGATTATAAATACCAGAGGGTTTTTTTTAAAGCTGCCACTAAATAGCAGTTTTACCAGATCAATGTTCAATGTGTTTAACCAATGTTTTAGTTTCCAAAAAATTCCAAAAGTCCAAAAATGTTGATATCAAGAAATAATCCCAGAACAAAAAGACAAAAATGTAGTTTCAAGACAAATGGGACATTTATTTTTGTGGTTCAAGGAGACCACTGTAAAGTTTGAATCTTTAATTTAAATATGTTCTTTTTACATGATAGATTTGAGGGGATTTGTGTTAAAACACAGCCCAGTTATAGATAATAAACATCACCACATGACTAACATTAACTAAATGTTAAATATGTTGGTGTCCGTGTGCTTTTTTCCTCCACTAGAGGGAGAAATACTGCAACATCAAGTTAAAGAGATAAACAAAACTAGTATAAAATGTCTCATGCCTTTCCACAAAATAACATTGCTAAACAAAATGGTTGATAACTTTTTTTTAAAGGTTAAATCTTTGCTCAAAGCGTTTGTTGTTAAAATGTGAATATTAAAGACGGTGGTCAGGCGTTAATGTGAGGATTTCTCTTCTCTGAGCATTCACTGTTTTACAGCATAAAAACGTGTTTGTGTGATTTCTCCACAGCCAAAAGAGCCACAGCCAACATTATGTTCGAGGAAAAGAAGAGCACCTAGGCAGACTATCCACTGTCTCTCCCCTCTGAAGCTGAAACTGGTCCAAAGGAAATGTTGCCTTTGTTTTGTCTGTTTTATGATGATGCTCTGCTCAGTTTAACCTGGTCCTCAGGGCCAGTCTTTAGGTATTTTATCAAATCATGCATCAAACAGGAAGCCATTTCCAAATGTCATTTTACTTTTTAACTGTGCCTTGTGGAGAGCTGTCGAAGAATTATGTGGTGAACCCTAATGTTCCTATAACCGAATAAAAGGAAACCTGCTCCTATTGTTCCTCTGACTGACTATTTAATATTCTTTTATCACAAGGGTGAACCCATCTCAACAGGCTTCTTTAGATTAGCTAGACGTTACATGTTTATCAACACTTAGTTTCTTGTCATTATTTTTGCTTTTGTCCTTTTTTTCTGTAAGATAAAGTGTCAGTTTTCATGATGATAAAATTAGGTGTTGATTGAAGGTTTTTTGAAGTCACAGATCAGTGTTTGCCAAAGTGAGGGGTGCCCCCCCTTTAGGTACATCAATTAATTGTTATCATTTATGTGTGACAGTGTTGGAAAAACTGCAATAAGTTTTATTTTTTTTATTTTTTTTTCAACAAGAATAGCCATTTTAGTTAGAACATTTTCAACAAAATTCAGTGGAGATAGTAATACCAATAGCTCTGAATACTGTATGTCCATGTGAAGGCGCTCAGCAATAGTCCTGTCCACAAGACGGGGCGTTGCCTGAAAAGTTTGAGAATCGCTAGAGTAGGTCATGATTTTGGAAGATTTAAATATTTGAAACAAGTGACATTTAATTATGAAAAAGTAAAAATGTTTTAGCATGCATCATTTTGATATAACAACAATCAATGTGTGGATTGTATTACATTTCTTAAAGTAAATGCATGGTTTGATGTTCTATGTAATTCAATAAAGTTGGTAGCTAAAAAAACATTTTAATTCTTTGACATGAATCATCACAAAAATGATCTATTGGAAACAGGATATGAGGTAAGTGGGGTCAGAGGTTGCCCTTGAAATTCTGGAAACGGTAAAGTACGGTATTGATTTTCACTCCTTGAGTGTGAGATGTAGAGCTTGGCTTCATATACATCACACTTTCCTTTTAAGCTAAGCTCACTCTATTTGAAACCATTTGAAAATCCTTTTTGTCCGAGTGAACCTTTAAATTGATATTAAAATAACTCCCTAAAACCCAAAAAGTGAAAAGGATAAAAAATTCAAATTAAATTAATCAAAATCAGAAACGTTTTTGCAGTCATCCAGGTTACAATTCAATATCAGCACATGAATGTTCTACAAAAGTATTGTCAAACGTAATGATTTTTACACTTGAAGTTACTAAAGAACATTTGTATAAAGAACAATTGTATAATTCAGAATCAGCTGTTTGTCGCAGATCATCTAATGTGATTGTCTATTCATATATTCAATTAATAACCACCGTCGACGCTCAGCTTTATTGGTTTCTATAATGCAGTTTAAAATAGATTTTTTTTTTCTCAGCGGTATGGTGTGTTTAGCGGCGACATCTAGAGGTAAACTACAGGCAGTTACGTAGAGTTTACTTGACATCTAGAGGTAAGCTACAGGCAGTTACGTAGAGTTTACTTGAAAATATACCTGGATCTGAAATTAACTTTTGTTTTACAGACCAGCAACTGCCACTGTTCTGCTTTAACTCTATGACAGTAGCGTTCTGTTCGTATGTAAAGTAAAGAATAAGCAAACTCGCCAAACAAAGTCTCAGTGTCAGAAATAACGTATAATAAAACACTCTTAAGTTTTGTAAATTCTATATAAAATCCTGTAAGCAAAATTTTAATGTTCTCAGTTGATCGTAAACTATATAAGGACACAGTGTGCACGCGCGCGCGTACATACAGTACATACAACGTTGTTGTTGTGAAACTAGTTTTTTCACTGTTGCACCTCAACGCATCACGACGCATGACGTCGCACAAGGAAGTCGAACATGGCGTCGGGACAGCAGTGGGTGTTGGTGGAGATGGTGCAGGCATTTTACGAGGTATGTGTCCATTATTACGTTAGTAACGTGAACATAATAGTCTTTTAATGAATATTTGGCAAGTCTCCGAACGTCGGTTACCACAGAGTTGTTGGTATGTCGCTACGGTAAGTAAACTTATCTTCGCCCGTGGCCTGGAGAACCTCAACTCAAAGCCAATCAGAGGGCTATGTTTACAGTAGAACAAGTGAGCGAACCAAGGTAGAGTTGACGACAAAGTCTAACTCTAACTCGCCTTTTACCGGTCCGAAAATGTGTTAACTCTTTATTGTTGTTGTTTTTTATACCAGATTAAGGTCAGATTCATTAATCTTTGTTATTTTTGAGTTGGAATTATTAGTGCTACAGTTAAGTTACGTCATTTCGTGTTAGTGGAAGTGGTCGCTTTTCCTTTTTTCCATTATAATGCGTACGTCTTGGTAGCACTTTTAGTTAAAGAGAATATGTTGTGAATGCAAATCCGCATTTTTATGTGCAATATATCTGTCCAAAAGTAACCATATGAACTAATACACTTTGGAACGGTATGATGTACATACGCTCTATTGTAACTATTGGATATTCGCTACAGGCCTAACTACGGCAAGCAGCTGCTGGTAAACATGTGTTACGGTCACAAACAAGAAAAAAACGGCCGTTTCTATCACTGAAGAAAGAAACAAGTCCAGAAGAATAGAGTTGGAGCCAACCCAGCAGTTGTAGCTGGGGACTTGGTCCACCATGGACAGTCCACCACTCCATGGCTGGAACACATACAGGGACAAACACCCATTTACATTTGTTCATTCTCTATTCATACCAATCAATCCATCAATTTAGACTGAATAGTGAACATAGTCCTGCATGTTTTTGGACTGTGGGAGAAACTTCTTGTTTTAAGAAACCACAACATGATTGTGTGGCCACTTGCTTTATTTTACACATAAAATATTTCTTAATATTAATTGGTTAATATTTGGTGTCTTAGCATTGGGCTTCTCTGAGCAATAATCCAATTAAATTAATAGATTATTTATGATGTTTAGTTGGTTTGTGGCATTGAGAACTTTGTTTACACAAACCATTAACTAAACTAAACTTCGAGGATACGAAATTTTACTGAAATGTTAATTAGTCATAGTTTATGATAATTGTTAACCGCAACTGTATAACAATGAGAATGAGATGTCACTGTAATATTATTGTCAGTATTGTCCTATGTTTTCATTTTGTGACCCTGTCCTCAGGCTCCTGCCTACCACCTGATCCTGGAGGGGATCCTCATCCTGTGGATCATCAGACTTCTGTTCTCCAAGACTTACAAACTTCATGAAACTTATAGACTGACTGAAAAGGTTAGCTCAAAAACATAAAGTGGAAAACACTTAGAGCTAATTTTAGGAGTCGTGTTGCTAAATTGTTTCACTCTATTGCAGGAAAAGGAAGACCTTATTGAGGAGTGGATGCCAGAACCTCTTGTACCAACCGCGAGCAAAGACCAGCCATCTTTCAGCTACGATGTAGTCACTGGGTAAAACACAGCACATGTCTCTGCCTTATAGACTCTGTGATGGACAGTAAATGAAAAGTTGAAAGTGAAGGTTTATAAAACAGTAGTGAAATCTGCTGTGACATATTCTTTAGATTCTGTAATCAATTCTGTAATTCTCTAAAAATTGAAATAATTCTCTTGCGTGATTTGAAGCGTGTCTTGCGTCCTACATCTGGATAAAGCACCACCACACTGACAAACAGCCTCCACAAAAGTTCCTTATTGTTAAAATGATCTGTCTGTAATAACGTGTACACACCCTTCATGCTGGTATTTCTCAATAAGAATTAGACTTAGGTTAGAGGGTGGGAACCTTGATTGCTAAAGAATTTACGTCTCCACCTCCCAGTTGATTTAAAACGTGTTGTTCCTGGGATGACTCACTGTTTGATACATTTAAATATCGGTGGTGGTATTAAGACATGTTATCTCACCGCAGACACAAACACGTAATTTACCCAGGGCCTCGGTTCTAATCCCATGTCTAGAAGGGTTGTGGTGTGTTTGAGCAAACACCTCCACCAGTGCCGACCACTGCTCCTGTTTCAAGGGTGGTTACATTTCATTGTGTACTGTGTAGTAATATTTACAATGAAGAAGAATAAAAGACCTAATCACCTCTTCTCTTTCAACTTGTTGAGATAGATTGCAGACAAAGATGGTAGCCGATGTATTATGTGTCACATAATCCTAACTAAACTCTTTTCAGACCTTAACGCACACAGGCAACAAGAAAGTGTCATTTTTGGTTTTCAACGAGTGTAGAACTACATGCTGTCTCTATGATACTCTGTTACACCCTTCATTCTTTCATACTTGTACCTCGTAATCCCTGTTTCAGACCTCCCAGCCACCAAATCATAATCAATGGAAAAAAGTGCATCAATTTTGCGTCTTTTAACTTCCTGGGTCTCCTTGATAATGAACAAGTTAAGGTAAGTGTTTTTTAAGTGTTAAATATTAATCAGTGACAGTGTTATGTTGACATTTACCAATCAATGTAATTTTTCTTCAGCAAAAGGCCTTGTCATCGTTAAAGAAGTACGGTGTAGGCACATGTGGTCCAAGAGCCTTTTATGGAACATTTGGTGGGTAACAAACGAGGAAGATTCTGGAACTATTTCTGTGACTTTTTAACTCTGGCTGTCTGTTTGAGTGGCTTTAATCTGTTTGTTGTCTGTGATTAATTCATAACATTAGTGTTGGTTCTTGTTTCCTTCTTCAAGACGTTCACCTGGAGTTGGAAAGCCGTCTGGCCAGATTCATGAGGACAGAGGAGGCCATCCTCTATTCATATGGCTTTGCAACTATTGCTAGTGCAATCCCTGCCTACTCCAAGAGGGGAGACATCATCTTTGTGTAAGCTTCATGACAGATTTGCCAGAGTTAGAAGACAACACAACTGTCAACTGTGTCTGAACAACTCCCCGTCTCTTGCCTTCATTTGTTGATGTTTTGTCCTCCACCGTGTGTGCAGGGATGAAGCTGCCTGCTTCTCCATCCAGAAGGGTCTGCAGGCATCTCGCAGTCTAATCAAATACTTCAAACACAATGACATGGAGGATCTGGAGAGGCTGCTAAAGGAGCAGGAGCTGGAAGACCACAAGGTGAAAATATGATGTTTTTGAATCATGTTTGAATAAATCATGTAATAAGCAATACTTTTACTGTGTAGCTTCCTGTTAGCTCCCCGTCTCTGATCACAACAATTTCCATTCTTTTGGCTCCGGCTCTGATCACAACAATTTCCATTCTTTTTCAGCTTTAATATTTATTAGCTTTATTTGCTCCATATGTAACATCTCTATTATGCAATTATGCCCAGAATTTAGCACAAACATGAAGTGTGAGCATGATTTGATTCTGGTGTCCAAGGAATCCCAAACCCCTGGAAATACTACACACCTCTTTTGTGTTAATTATGAGCCAACAGCCATTTATTTTCTGCTCCTTCATCATTCTGACCTGTGTTGTTACAGAATCCTAGGAAAGCTCGCGTGACCAGGAAGTTCATAGTAGTAGAGGGGCTGTACATCAACACAGCAGATGTCTGTCCTCTCCCTGATCTGGTAAGATGAAAAAAATGAACCCTCACACCTACACTGTCCAGCAGTCCTGCTGCAAACTAAACATATATGGTTTAACTTTGGGAATGCAGTTGTGAGAGCAATTTTAAAAATGCACCCAGTAGGCGGCAGCAAATCACAAGATTCGGATCTGTAGAGTGACTAGCACACGACTTAAACTAGCTGTTAGCACTCTAGTTTGTTCTCAGTTATTTTTAGGCAAATGCCTGCATTTTGAATCATGTTCATGAATAGTTTATTTTTCAAGACTTTTTCAGAGAGTTAGTAGTAAAGACCAAATAAATCATTTTTAAAAAATTTGAAAAATGCTCATTGATAATTGTCTCTTTTAAAATTAATTTCATTGATTTTTGGAACGATAGTGCATAGAATACATAACAGTTAACGCATTTAATGCATTACTGACAGTCAGGTTTTGAATATCACATGTATATTTTACTGGTTCCCCACTGTTTGTTGTACTGGGCAGAATCACAGGTCATGACCATTTTAGCTTCAGTTTTCAGTGTTTTTAATACAGTCTCTAATTCTGTCTGATCCAACGCTCATTTATGTGCTGGTGTGACCCCTAGGTGAAGCTGAAGTACAAGTACAAAGTACGGATCTTCCTGGAGGAGAGCCTGTCTTTTGGTGTGCTGGGAGAACACGGCCGTGGAGTCACAGAACATTTTGGTGTTAATGTGAGTAAAGAGAGCCACAAGAAAAATATGTCTGTCTGACTGCTTTGAGTTTTTTTTAACATAAGCAATATGAAAAATGTAGAACGTTCAAAGTCAGGCTCACCTCACGGTACAGAACAGCAGTAGAACATATTGACCAATCAGCAGTGAGAACATCTTAGCCTGCTTGAATATATCCTTAGGATCATGTTAGGTAATACACCTCATATATTTACAAGTAAACACTCATCAATGTGTGTTGTAAGCAGGTGTAAACATCTATTATATCCCCCCTTTTTCACCTGTTCAAATACTGCTGTTTAGAAAACATTGTTGTGTTAATTATATGCACATATATATATATATTCATAAAATTAATTTATAAGAATAAATTGAAATAATAAGTTAAACATGTTTAAGGGCGCTGGGGTATAAGGCTAAGGGTTGAGGCTGAAGTTCACGTCCATCAGCCTTTGTCTTGACAGATCGACGACATCGACCTGATCAGTGCTAATATGGAGAACGCCATGTCTTCGATTGGAGGGTTTTGCTGCGGACGCTCTTTTCTCATTGATCACCAGGTAAACACAACAGGTTCAGGTCCACTTTAGTCCAGGTCTGCTGCTTCACATAATCTGATATGTTTTTCTGGAGTCCTACCAAAATCCAGGCAGCACATGTACTGTGTACTACTCTTCCTGTGTTCCTCCCTCTGATCCTGTTCTCTCCTGTAGCGTCTGTCTGGTCAGGGATATTGTTTCTCTGCATCCCTTCCTCCCATGTTGGCGTCTGCTGCCATTGAGGCTCTTAACATCATGGAGGAGGATCCAGGTAGGTTTGGATGTTTGTAGAACCTTAGAACAATCGTCAAACTCTGTGTTCATGTCTATAAGAAAACTCTGTTTGTTTGTATTAACTTTGTGTCTTTCACTCAGGGATCTTTACCGTCCTGAAGGAAAAGTGCAATCTGGTGTACAGGTCTTTGCAGGGGTGAGTTCACCTTTGACCTCAGTGTGTGTGTGTTTGTTTCAGGATTTGAAGGTTTGTGTGTAAAACTCCTGTGTTCTCTCCTGACTGTGTGGCAGAGTTCCAGGGATAAAGTTGGTTGGAGAACCATTTGTCCCGGCTCTTCACCTACAGCTGCAGAAAAGTTCAGGCTCTAGAGATGCAGACATGCTGCTGCTGCGTGCCATAGTAGAACATGTAAGTACACTACAGAGTATTCGCAGAATACTACGGAGTATTCACAGCCACGTTACACTTTTGTTAAACTTTAGGCAAAAAATAATGTTTGTTTTAAAGTTTGTTGTGGTTTTATTTTTTTTACTGAATACATGGTGTTTTGTGTGTCAGTGTATGGAACGAGGTGTGGCTGTGACCCTCGCACGCTACCTGGAAAAAGAGGAGCGATTCCTGCCACCTCCCAGGTGAATATGACTCCAGCTCTGAAAAGGAAAGAAAGAAAGATACATTTATTTGTTTTGTTTTTAGTCATTAGTCATTATCAAAAAGCTAATAGAACAAATACAAAAAATGTCTCTTAAAAGTTAGTATATTTATGTATATATGTACAGTATATATGTATAAATATATGTGTAAGAAAATGCATATATACTTATATAGTTGTGTGACCACTGTGCCTGTGTCCCCTCAGTATCAGAGTGGTGGTCACCGTCCAACAGTCGGAGGAGGACATCTCCACGGCTGTTTCCTGTATCCGTGAAGCAGCGTCAAGTGTCCTGAAATGACAGTGAGGTGAAGGTCACTGCTGAGTGAGGCCCCGTTTACATGTGCCCTGACAAACTTCATCACAAAAGACGTCTTTTCTACTGCACATGGACAGGAACTGTGAGTACTAGAAGACATTTTAAGGATCTAAGCAGTGACTCGTACAATGAGTGCCTGCCGTTGAGCTGCATTGAAGAATTCTCTGTTTTCTTTTTTTTTTTGTCATTCGATTGGTTTGAAATCCTCTCTAATGCAGATTAATTTTTTCGTCCTTTTTAATTTTACTCTGATAAATAATAATAAACTATTCCAAGGCTGAATGTTGTCATACTTACATTATGTTTCTGGTCCCTGTTACAGTCATGTCCTTTGTCCTGACTGTTGTTCCTGCTACTGTTCACTCCTGTTATTATTACTATCATTAGTCCTGGAGGCATCTGCTGTGATCATGTCTATGTGCTCATTTATGCGTTTATTAAATATGAGTTATTTTATGTTTGTTTTCCAGGTGTTTGAAGCTTTAGTCCTAAGGAATCTTACCTTTTCTAACGTTATTACTGAGTTGGTTTCCCTGTTGTCATCAATATATGAATGTTATCACAGTTGTTTGGAAACAGCCTCTGCTGCCAACACATATTTGAAGAAAAACTAAATTGATCAATTTTGGCAAAGAGTATGATGTTTTAATTACAATAAAACCAAAAAAATACTACTGAATTTGATGAAAATGCTGCTGTTTCAAATGTCCACAAACAACAATTTCTAATGGCACAAATGTCACTAGGTAAAACATTTGACCTTAATATAACAGGCATCAAAATACCACAGTTTAAAGATCCTAAATATAGGTGGAAGTACTGTGGAGCCCCCACACACTGACACATTCATAGCTTTTGCTTCTAAACTACACTGAACTTGATTTGAAACACAAAAGTGACATTCTAATTAAAGGACAGAAAATGTCAAGTTGGTCCAGTTTTCCTGACTTTTGGACAAATATTGAAAATATTGAATATTAAAATGAATTTAGCCTACTGCGTCCCCCTCCAACAGGTCAGTGCGCCCAAAGGGTGATCCAACCCCTGTATTGGAAACCACTGCTCTAAACCAACACTAATGTGGTGTAAAAATAATTGGGTAACTATTTCAGGTGGCTAAAAACAAATCTCTCTGTCAGTGTTACACTTTAAACCCTGACCTGTACCTTTAGTCCAGGTGTAACCAGGGTCTGTGAAAAGAAGGGAAATCACCTGACTCCGATCAGGGTTTTACCAGAGATGAATTTATGAGTCTTTTACTTTTGCCTTTGTTTTCATTTCAACTCCTTGTACTTCATGTTTGTGTACTGATACCAATACACACCAAACTCTCTGCTGCTGTGAATGTAACTAGTGGCCAAAGAGAAAATGTTGCACTGACGATTTCCTGTGTCTGCTAGTCCATGAAGTGTACAAGATGATAGACATTCCAAAGATGGTTTTTACCTCAGAATCACAGATTTTTACTGCTACTGTTTTCTTTTGTACTAACCATTTGGCTTACGTTCAATGTGAAAGTATGTTTTTTAGAGCTTTTCTTTGCCTTCACTGAAAGAATTCATATCATGTTTTGCTAAACAGGATTTCAAGAAGAATTATAGACAATAAACTCATGAAACTCAAGATCTGTCAGGTTTGAAGAAGCTCATTCGTTCCCACACATGTAAACAAATGTCCAGCTACCAGCCATTAGCTGTCTGATGCTATCTGCCTTCCTTCTGATGTTTCCTTTTAAGAGAATCGCTCCATCCATTGTCTGAGGACGGCGGCACATTCTCCTTCTTTCATTTCTTTGCTTTGAAATCTTTCAAATTTGTTAAGTTTTTTTTTCAGGCTTAAAAAATATATAAGCATTACATTTTGTAGCTCACGTTCATTTAGCACTGTGCTAAATGAACAGCGGTGGTTAGCTTTTGGGGTTGTACATAACAGCAGTCCAGCAATCACATGTCAGTGAAGCTAACGATGGATCCTCACACAAGGAGTTTAGACAGACATAAGTGTACCCACACTCTGAATGAATTTAACATACTTAAAAAAAATCCATCAAAGCAGAACTTCATTTTTCAGCTGCTCATGTACCGGGTTAATTGAAGTGTTAATTATTTACTAGAAACATTGGTTTCAGTTTGAAAGACAGTTGTTGTCATGATTTCAGCGAATATAAACAAAGCAAAACTGAACTAATTAACAACCTCAGAAAGACCCCAGATTTGGTGGATGATCCTGTGACGACACCCAGAGCTGATACATTTTCACCACTCTGTCCTCGAGCTTTTGCGAATGTTTCAGTGTAGTGCATGTTTGTCTGCGAAAAAACCCTGAGAATGTTTTTCTTCGTCGTCTCTCTTGAAACCATATTTGAGGGATGTAAATTGTGGATCTGCGGTCTCTGTGCAGTCAGAGCTGAGGCTGCAGTGGCAACAGTTTCACAACAGACATACGGTGTGTACACCACTAACAGAGCAGTGGTTTGTATAGAAAAATAAAGAAATGGAGAAAGGTCGGAAGAAAAATAATGATGTGAATGCGTCCGTTACATCTGCAGCCTCTCTGTTAGCATCCTTTTTTACGCAACCCTGCCTGTGGTGGATCAGCCCCGGCTCACTGCTGGACATCTGCCGGAAGGAGGCCAGCCACAGTGTGTATGTTTCAGGCTGTGTGCAGCAGCAGCATGAACCACAGGCCAGGTCTGTGTGGATCCACCGGCCAGGCTCTCAACTGTCTGTTAACATACACAAACACACGTGTGTATTATTAAATTATAGCCTCCCCGGCTTGTACCTTCCTGTGTCAGGTGTCATCCACAGATACACGGTCAGAAAAAGTTAGGCTTCCCGACAGAATTCATTTATTTTGGTGGCTGTTTTACTTGTTTTAACCTAAAAATTCTCTTTTTCAAACTAAAATGCCACAAGATTTCAAATATTCCATGTTTTCTTTTTGCCACATTCAGTGTATTATTTAGGGACTACTTTGGGTTACAGACCAAGTTAAGGTATAAACAAACACTTCACTTCAAAAAAACATAATGCTTCAGACTGGTATTTGTCTATCAAAATAAACACCTAAACAGGGAATTATGGGATAATAAACAGGGATAATGTCTCCTTCACAGCTGTCCCACCACTAAAAAGTATTTTATGTTGCCCCAAAAACCATGATACTTTAGGTCAGGGGTCGGCAACCTGTGGCTCTGGAGCCACATGTGGCTCTTTCATCCCTCTGGCTTTGGAGAATATATATTGAATACTAAATTTGAATTTATTTGGTAATTTGTTTTAACTGTAACTGTAAATTTGACTATTATGGTCTTGTTCTAAAATTAAAACAAAACCTTTTTTCCATTATTTTTGTCTAAAAGACACGTGTCGACATGATACTTGTTGGTGTGCAAAATATCAAACCTTTCAACCCCATCGCCGTTCACGACACAGGAGAATTAAAACACATTAAAACACATTTGTAGCCCTGGTGAGAAAAACATAATAAGACACCGATAAAAGCGAGTGTATAATTAATCAACCTTTAATTGTGCCTATCGGCAATAATTCAAATGTCCTATTATACCTAAATGCACCACCTGGTTCACGTAACCCCACCTGGGGACTAGGGTGTCTATCTTTCAACAGCCAATCAGGCATCACGCAGGTCACGTTCAGCTTGTCAATGAAGAGGTGAAGTGGCGACGCGCTGTTTCTTTAGGCCCTTCGGATATCAGCAGCGGGAAATGAGTAAGTTACTTACAAAAAGGACGGAAAAAGGAGAAAACGCGAATACAGTGTGAAAAGAAAGAGATAAACCACTACACCAACCTGCTGAGAGTCCGGAGTGAGTTACGCTGGTAAGACGGATCGTTTACTGGAAAAAGAATGGCCGTCAACACATTGTCCATGCTAATGCTAATTCGTCGTTTCATAGGCTAATTAGGTGTCCTCCATTTTGTGAGTTATTGAATGTGTTCTCCTCTAATTGGAACATTTTGCTTTCTTGAATGTTTAATTTAATAGATGTGACCTTTTCTATAGGTTAGGTTTGTGAAAAAGACAAGGAAGTTTGATGACCAGGACAAGACCCCAAGTGTATTTGATGGCGAGCCATTAACCCTGAAGACAAAGACACAGACATGGAAATAGAGGTACACACACACACACACACACAAACCAACCTTTAAAAACAGGTGCACCTGCAACATATTTCAATTTTAAAGTGTGTCCACGCGTCAGTTCCAGTTTCCAATCTTGTGTGAAGAGGGAAGTAATGTGTAACAGCCCTAGTTCATTGACTTCATAAATGCAACACACTATAGTTTATATCCTTCACCTGTGGGTCGCTCCTATATCTTAAGCGTGATTTAGGATCTTTTAGGGTCTTGTAAAATGGCCGTCCCTCTGCTCGTCCTTGACCATTTCAGCGTCTTGGGGCACATCAGCAACCTACCATACTTTGAAAATTGTAATGTAAAAATGTATGTGTCAGTTCAACGTTACCTTTTGGCAGTGGCAGCTAGCAGTAAACGCACTTTCTTACCAAATATGGCAGTGTTTTGATTTTGACTTATACATAACAGGAAGCCTGACATCAACTGGTTTTCAAACCAAAAGATACAAAAAATGTTGAAACAAAAAAAAAAATCAGAAAATTTAAAGTCACCATGACAGTCACATATCATACAGAGGGTTTGGTACAAAATAATCATTTAAACATGTTTTTCATATGTCTTTATTGAGTACATCCATACAAAGTACATGTAGTACATAGACTTAAGTTGTTGATGATAAATGATTATTAACAAGAGTGGAGAAAAAACGTATAGGATTTGGTATCAGTGTCTGCAGGAACTCCAGGTTGTAGTATTGGTATCAGATATGAAGCTGTATCCAGACGTCCCTAATAAAATGGCTCATGATATATAGTTTCCAATCATTTCTCGCCCTGGTTACTGACACCTTTACATACAGCCATTTTCACTTGGGATGTGATGACACGGCACAGAGGTCATGTCTGTTACAGGTATGTGTGTGTGAATGTGCAGAATTCATATATCCACTATCTGCAGTGAAACAACGATGACCCATACAGGTGATGATCTGATTCACTGTTCCTCTCACTGTGATGTAACGAAACATGATTTAAAAACCCAAACACTGAGGTTCATCCTCAGATGCACAGTTTACAGCAGTTGTGAATGGCTCCCCACAGCTTTTACTGGTGTAGAAGGCTGTTGTCAGTGACTTCAGCTTTATGTTTTTAAATGTAAATCATTGTAAGCAGTGGCTGCTGCTGAGTGAGTTCACTTGCAGAAACCAATTGCTAAGTTGTTAGTTGAAACACGGGCCAGGATCGAGGTGTGTTGTCCTGCACTCAGATTTCTTCACAGTTAATGTGTTGACTTGTACACTGTCACACATTGTTATGTTGGAAGCAGCAGAACTGAAGGCAGAACTCGGGGGCAGATTATGTCAGCGTAGCCTCACTCGCCCTTGAACTGAGGAATCCTCTTCTCCCTGAAAGCAGCCAAACCCTCCAAACGGTCTTTAGTTGGTATCACCTGTGAAAACAAACATTTGTCAGGACTAAAAAAATAATCGACATATTTTATTATTTTTGGATTTAAGACAGTCTAGTGCACTAAAAATAACTGGTATTTTAAACCATCTCATAACATCTACAGGTGATAAGACACCTACCTGGGCGTAGCATGCCTCCTCAATGGCTAGGCCTGTGGATAAATCCACCTGGAGGACAACAGGAGAGCTGGGTTAGTTCAGTTCAAACCATTTCCTGCTCAACAAAATCCATACTTAAAATCACAAATATCTTTGATATATATTACGTGTTACAATATAGGTCCATCCAATGGCAGTAATAAACTGACAGAAAAAAAATAATGCACATACAAACATATACATACATATACACTACTGTTCAAAAGTTTGGGGTCACTTAGAAATGTCCTTATTTTTGAAAGAAAAGCACTGTTTTTTTTCAATGAAGATAACTTTAAACTAATCAGAAATACACTTTATACATTGCTAATGTGGTAAATGACTATTCTAGCTGCAAATGTCTGTTTTTCAGTGCAATATCTACATTGGTGTATAGAGGCCCATTTCCAGCAACTATCACTCCAGTGTTCTAATGGTACAATGTGTTTGTGTATATATATATGTATGTATGTATATATATATATGTGTGTATATAGATATATATATACACACACACACATATACATACATAAATATCCCACAGAAAATAACATTTCTAAACCTGGGTCTGTATGTGTGTGTGTGTGATAAAGAACACTTTCCATTTTGTCATGTCGAAACCAACAAGCTAGTGCTTTGTTGCTAAATACTTCATGGACGAATGACACCTGACCTTAAGCTTTAGTTCTACAGAACACCCGTGTTTTCAGTGAAGATACTTGTGACTTCTATTCATTGTTGACTCTACATACTGTAGTGATGTACCCTGGTGCACTGACTTCTCACCTCGGTTCCCTGGTTGATTGCAAGTTTTGCCATCCTCACTGCAATGGGGCCCTGTAAGAGTCAGTGGTTCATTACAATGGTCCACAGACTGCAGTGCTAGGATATGAAGTGCTCCAGCACATTGGTGTGGATCACAATGACTCTAAACTCTTTTACCTGAGGGTTGATTTCACGAGCCAGCTCCAGAGCCTGTAGGTAGGCTGCGTCTCCGCTCTTATTCTGCTCCACAGCCTGGCTGACCAGACCCACTCGTAGTGCCTCTGTACCATCGACCACCCTAGCAGCAAAAATGAGCTCCTTCGCAAAAGACACACCCACGATCCTGGGGAGACGCTGTGTGCCACCTGCACAAGACAGGGCAGAGGTCGATGGAAACATCATTTCTCTAGTCGCGGGGATGAACGTTAGCACTCAAACATTAGCACTCAAATAGTGATCACAAACAGGAATGTTGTAGAAGAAGGTGCTTAAAGGTTGTCCAAGTCTGGAAGTCTCTCTTCTCAACACTGACTGTGACTGTGAGTGAATATAATTTCCTCCTAGAGGAGACTCACCTGCTCCAGGAATGATGGCAAGTTTAGTTTCCACAAGTCCCATCTTTGCAGTATCGGCTGCAGAGAGAACAAACTGTTTTGATCATCACTATCATTATTGTCCATTGTTTTGTCAACAGCCTGGACATGTACAATATGTGAAAATAAAATGTCAAAAATAAAGTCTTACAAGCAATTCTGATGTCACAAGCCAGAGCCATCTCTAAACCTCCTCCTAACGCAGCTCCATCAATTGCAGCAATGGTTGGTACAGGCAGGTTACCTACGGTTCAGACCAAACAACAAAAACACAGATGTCAATCAGCAATACAGATGTATTTTATTCATATGCACTTGACAATTATAGGAAATAAAGAAACTGATAAATGACACAGGGTTTTAGAAAGAGAGATACAAAGTCAGTGAGTCTGTTAAAACAAAATCTAATCATTCAATGAAACAAATAACTAATAGACTTGTTTTCCCATTGTATTTGAACTAGGTCCATGTTAGAACCCTGGGCTCACTGCTAGGTCAGTCAATATGATCATCCGTCTCCAGACTTTACCCAGTTCTGTGATCAAGGCTCTGGCTTTAGACACAAATGGTCCCACTTCACTCTGATGCATCTTAGCTCTTTCTTTTAGATCTGCACCTGCACAGAGAGAAAGATGGAGACAGAATGAGAGCATGACTAAATTGTGCCTATAGTTCTGGACCATTTTTTACTTTTGCTAATTTAAACATGACAATTTGTATTTTGTATTTACTTAAATTGTACCTGCACAGAAGATCCCAGGAACCAAACTACAAAAAATAACACTGCGCACTTTGTTATTCTTCTTAATGTCCTCCACAGCATCAAACATCTGAAATACAAATATAAGTATATATGTATGTACTGAAGAACAACAGATCTATAACTCTCTTAATTTAAAAAAAAATCTCATGCTTTGTTCATACATTTTATTTTGTATAATTGTGTTACAATGAAGTCACTGTAAATTACAATAGCATTAATACAATAGAACCTACGGAGAGTAGCAGTAGAAAAAAGTGAATGACCACAACAAAACAAAAAAGAGACAGAGAAAATACTTTTAAAAAAACACAATCCACAAAAATATAGAAAGAAAGAAAATGACCATACCTACCAATTTGACCAGATTTTTACTGATGGCATTCTTGGCTTTTGGCCTATTTAGTCCAATGACAACAATACCTGAAAAAAGTTAGAATATGAGAATAGATCATGGATAATAGTGGTGCTGGCACGAAGTAAACAAGACCTTGTTTCATTTTTCTGCACTCTGACTTTGATGACATTTCCAGTTCTTCTTTAAAGATTTGCAGTTGACACTTTCCCCCCAGTCCTCTGAATGTTCCTCAACCACAAGAGCTTGTTGAAATCTTCACTAAACTTCAAATATAACTTCTTCTTCTTCCGTTTCCACGATTATTTGCTAGGCTCTACCTGTATTCGTCTTCTTATCTGTTCCCACTGTTATTCCAAACACTACCATCCAGTGGTATCTTACTGTTACTATCTCCTACTATGTCCTGTCTCTATCATTAGCATTAATTACAGAGCACCTATTCCCCGTGTGTGTGCACCTGCGGCAACACTTTTGCCAGCTGATGTTCCTCCCTCTTATAAAAATACATCATTGCCATAATCATTGGACTACTATGATAACACCAAGTTAACTGTCACTACAGGTTAACTCTCACTAACTCACCCTGGTCAGCTCCGTCTAAATATCTTACACGGAGGTCGTCCTTTAGTTCGGAGCTGTAGTGTCGCACCGACGCTGCTGCTGCGGGAGTTCTGGTCCAAGGACAGCGCGTCATTACGGCGGGTAAATGCTGCTGTGAGAAGCCGCGAAGAGCTCCCGCCGACCCGCATAGCACGACCCGCTCTGCAGCCTCAACACGGAGAGCTCTGCGCAGCAACACAGCCGCCATGTTTCCAGCTCCAGTAGTTACCCTCAACTTTGAACCTATTCACGTGACCATGTCATGTGACATTGTCTATGTCGTCACCAAAATGATATCGCAATAGCGGAATCAAAACAGTGACAGACCTGGGATCATTTTCACAGCGACTCGGCCCTAACTCTGCTTTAACTATGACTGCGTTTAAAAACACGTTTTGCAGACATGTTAAAATATCCCGACGAAGTATTGAGGCCACAGTAAGGACAAGTGTATGGGCATCATACATTTATGAGAGTGGGTTGTACTTTTATGCACTTTGTTAATTGTTACAGTTACAGTTTTGTATTTTACTCTTTTTTTCATCGCAGTCGTGACAGTCGGTAAAAACCAGTCTTTGGACATTGCACTAAACAACTTTTTTCATCTACAACGTTGGATTGTGTTGCTTCATAAGCAGTTGACTCACTACCTTGTACCAAAATTATTACAACACTATTGTCATGGCAATTATTCAGCTTGATTTGCAGTCAAAAGCAAAAATATACAGAGTTGTTTTTTTGTTGAAAAAAAGAAGCTGCTACATATCCACATGATTCTTCACAAACAGAATTGTTTATTGGTAGCACAAACCTGAAAACATGAAACTTAAGTGTTAACCCAAATACTCCTGACATTTTAGTGAAACTGTAATTCACATAAAAACAGAACCACTGTGAATATGAGCAGTCTCTGCAGTGTCACATCTTAGACTTACACCCATACACTGTATATGTGACATATTGGCAACTAAGTTGTAGCATTCAACCAGGGTAAACTGACAACAGCCTCTCCCTCAACCATGAACAGATTAAAGCAGAAGGAAATGGTTGGATTGGAAAATGAGTTAACAAGCAACAGTTTTGTATCTCACAGCAACAGCTCAAAAACTTTTTAATATTGTAGAGAGTTTAACCCTTTAGTGACAGAAACATAACTGCAGAAAATAAAAACCATCACCCAGATGAACAGAATCACACCGTGAGAAAAACAGAGTTTAGTGAATAAAGGCTGAGATTGTGTTTGTCTCTGAAATTATAAGAGCGAGAAATGAAGACAGAGAGAGAGCAACACCTCTAAGATTATTCATGTGTGGTAATGTACGAGTACAATGATTTTGAAATCCCCGGTCATGGATCATTCACATTAAAATAACAAACATTTTGAATGTGTGTAAATACATTATTTCAAATGTAAAAAAAAGCATCTGTTGTGACGTTCCTTCTGCAACAGACGGAACACACAGTTCCATGTGTAGAAAATCTACAAAAACAACCGTCCTTTGATAAATGGACAGAGAACCAGATCAAGCACAGAAATTTGTTCTCTATCACAGCCCTGCCTTAAGAGACTCCGCAGCTTGTTCTAGAAACATTTGAACCTTCTTCTCAACTTCTTCAAATATTGTTTGACTGGTTAGAATTTGTTGTGGGTGTGGTTGAGTGGTCAAACTAACTAAGTATGCTGTGCTTGTTTTGTTTGGGGTTTTTTTTGTGGCAATCCCAGACTTGCATGTTCACGGCTCGTGGCATCTAGTAAACCACTTTGTCATCAATATTCAGTTAGCCGTTGAATAGTCAAAGCAAGTATGTTTTTACCTTAAACAAATGATATCCAATTAGCTTTCACACTTAACTCACCTCTCCATCTCTCAACAATAACCAGTACACACTACACCTACGTGTTGATGGATGGGTAGAGCTACAGTAGGTGTGGAAAGAAGAGGAAAAAAACAGAATATAGTCTTCAGGAAAGAGGAAAAAAACAGAATATAGTCTTCATGTACATTGTTTACATTGATAACCACCCTTCCATTGTCACTGCAGCAGATTTAGGTTAAGACTGTAACATGGTGTGAACACAGTTTAACACCTATCGTAATAAAAACAAGAAATAACCCTGACAACAGGCACACAGTGGAATAGAAAAATGGTGTGAAAATGAAGACACACAAATGCTCCTTGTGTCTGACTCAGAACACCTCAGTGTTACTATGACAGAGCAGCAGCAGTGTCCAGGTCTGGGTCCTCAGTGTGTGAGGACATTACTCTGGAGGTGGGGCTCAGGCTGTGTCTGCTGCCCTTACAGGGGTCCCACAGTGTCTCCATGTTGCCTCTGTGCTCCTGGCTCCAGCCCTGCATGTCATTCACCTGTACTGACAGAGGACACGGGAGCAGCTGTGAAGGCTCCACGGAGTCCTGAGTGGTGCTTGGGTGTTCTCCACCTGTTCTACTGACTGGTGATGAGGTCTTCCCAGCAAACTCATATTCATGGTCTATTGACTCAACTTTAACCTGGGTGGGTCTGGCTTTGATCCGCAGTTTATGAGGCAGGGCAGAAGCACCGGTATCGGGCACCTTGTGTGTAGAGACGATGACACTGGTCAGGCCAGCTGTGGACAGAGTGAATCCTTTGGGAACCTGCTGTTCATCCTCGCCGTCTGATGCTTTGCTCAATGCGCCATCGTCTGAGCTCCTGGGGGAGTTACTGGAGGACCTGGTGTTGTGCATAAAGGAGGCCGGCTGTGGGAAGCCGCAAGAGAGGGAGCTGTTCAGGCAGTTTCTGTACAGCTCATACGGACTGCTCTGCTCCTGTGCATAGCTGCTGTTATCTGTTGGTTCTTGTTTGACTTTTGTCATATATTTATATTCACCTGGAGTGCCACAGAATGTCTCAGGCATGTGAGGTGAACGCTTGATGACTGATATGCAGCTGCTGCCTAAATTTGTTTCCCTGCTGGAGGAGCCCTGGTCAGGAGAGGGTGGAACGAGCTCCTGGTAGAGGTTGACCACAGCGGAGCTAGCTAACTTCTGAGCTTCCTGTGTATATGCCGCTGAGCTCATCAGGCCAAACTTTAGCTTCAGTGACAGTAGCTCAGCCTTGAGTGAAGCGTTTTCTTCTCCAAGAGCCATGAGCTTGTTCTCAAGCACCATGTCATTGATGCGCCGCTTCTCTCTGGAGCGCTTGGCTGCTTCATTGTTTTTGCGACGTCTCTCCCAGTAAACGATGTCTTTCTTTTCCTCAGGAATAAACTCTCTTTTCCTACGACAAGTCTTAGCCCTGAATGGAATATCATGTCCAGTCAGCTCCCTGTTAGCCCCCTGTAAGGCTACAGCCAGAACCAGAGTGTCCTCTCCGCCGTAGGACTCACTGGATTCCGACTCCTGCTTGACTGACTGCATATTATCACTGACTCAACACAACAATATGCTCCTGGTCCTTCAGCTGTTCACCATAATGTTTGCGTACAAAAATGGTGACTTCCAAATTCAGCTTATCCACTTGGGGAAATCTATGGAGTAACAATAAGAGAAGTTTAAAGGTCAGTGTCATATGGAAACCCAACAAATACAAATATTCAAGTAAAATTAAAAAAAAGTTATTAAACAACTTTTTTATAAAAGGGTGACAGTTGCACATTGCCTTTGCTAGTTGTAAGGTCATCTTAATCATTTGTGTAAAGACCAAATTTGACCTCTTTGGGTGATAAAGTTTGCAGGACTGCGGTCTATACATTAATTTCTTTCTCCTAAACCAACTGAATGAACCTCTAAGCCACTGGTGTGATTCTATGTTGACACACATGTTTGTTGTGACTTAGCACAAGACACAGACACAGGAACTAACTAAAATAATTGATGCCACCAAGAGGTAAAATAAAAACCTAATGTAAAGAAAACCTGATGACAACAGCAACTCCTATAAAGTTGATAAAATTATGTAATCAAATTTCCTTTCCTCTCTCACACAGTTTGGAACACAGTTAAACAGCAGTTTAACATCAAGCCTTTCCTGTCAGATCTGAATCAGCAACTTTTTCTGAATCAGCACTTTTCTCCAGTGTTCAACTTGTAACAAGTTGTTTGTTATAAAAAGGTAATTTTTTGGAGGATCTTCAAATCAAATCCGCAAAAAACTGAATGACGTGTTGATCTGCTTCAGGAACAGTTAGTGGTGTTTTTTTTTTTACTTTTATAAGACTTTTGGATCAAATTAAGTCTAACCTTTTATCACATCACTTGGGTTTATACATAATCTACAAACTTTACACTTAAAATATTAATTAATTAATGTTATTTTTTTTGTATAATTTAGTGAAACAGGTGTACCTGTTGCTATAACATAACAATAACATGAGGGTAGGTCAAAAGGTTGTAAGACAGGTGTAATAATTTCAAAAGTTTTAAAAAAGACAACCCCGCAGAATTCTACAAAGACGGATATCTCTGATAGGAATTGGAGGATTTGCAGAGACCCTTGGTTGGGGTCTTTGTGAGAGATTTTTATTATTTTAAGTTATTAAAGGACCTGGTATTAAATAATCAAGGGTAAGAACAAATAACAGTATTCTCACTGTTTTGAAGTGCAAGAGAACTGTATTGGTGACCTGTGTTAAAACAATGTATTACATATATATGAATGCAATATTACGAAATCACTACAATAGCACTGAAAACTCCGTAGCTTCATTGTAAACATCCTTTAATTTCTCATTTCTTTGAATTCTGTAGTAACACGAACCATGTCATAATTACAGAGAAGACTGGACATAAAGAAGATGCAATCAATTGTGAGGTTTCTTTTAACGAAATTCATAATTGTTTTAACCTCGGTGCCATTTTTGCTGTGTCGTGTTTATTCTCCACATTTGAATGTCGCTTCGTTACAATGTTGTATTAAAATGTCACCTGATCGCAGAAACGATGGGACCCCTGGTCTATTAGGCCGTTGTAAGTGCCAACAAGTACAGAAAAACGCGTGTGTGGTCGGCCACTGTTCGTGTTCGTACATGACATCATCACATTGCTTACTTATGACACTCAGGCACGGTCTGTATCTACGCCCTACAAAGAAAACTGTTACAGTGAGAGCTGCCTGCGTTGAAGGCGGTTAAGACTCATCTGGAGGGTGTATAACATCTGACTAAATGATTTTACAGCCCAGCCTCCAGCTACAGCAGTGGAGATAACACAGCAGACACCAACAACGCTACCGTAGGCTTATTTAAACTCTTACAACACTGTCGCAATATGTCACTGGTGTTACGTAGGGCAGGCCTCTGTGTGCCTTGAAAAAACACATTTCTGCAACCCCACTATTACACAATATTTAACAACTCAATAGCTTAATAACAATGTCTTTGCTTAAATACATTCCATAGTACGTAAAACAGAATTTACAAACACAATGGCTGCCGTTTATAAGGCTGCAGTGTGACTGCGGAGCGGCGCGTACGAACTGCCAACCAACAGCACAAATCACAAGAACAACAAAATGGCTTAACGTTGAAGTCAAATCAAAACTGTACCTTTTGTGACAGCGTTGCTTCTTCGACACTTCTCACACGTACTGGTCCCCTATTAACTGTTCAATATTCTAAGGGGGTAATAAAGAGGCTACAACTGTCCAAGAACCACTACGTCCCCTCGCGAGGATCCCTCCTTCGAAGGGCTAACACTAACTCATGGATCTGTGTTAGTAGGTCAACGTATAAGTATATTGGCAGCGCTGGGCCAAGTGGCAGCCACTGCAGCCAATCAAATTGTAGTGTTTGTCGAGTTTTAGCCAATGAACACTTGCGTCGACAATCCCCCACACCAGCGTGTCATCTCATCAGTACGTGTGTTGCGTTTAGGGCCAATAGTTAATCTTAGGATTGAGCGATAACAGCGATCCAAATGTACGCGACATAAACGTCATTGTGAATGAAAATCTTTGGGAAAAATCACCTCATAATTATTGTTTGTTATAATACAAATATGTATTGTATATTTAAATATAATCAAATATAAGTTATTTTCCTCAAATTATCCCCAATAAAAGTTGATAATGAATATAATAAAAGTTATTTTCCTTAAATTATCCCCAATAAAAGTTGATAATGTCTCCATCTGCATACATGACGCAATTATAATTAATTAGTCTAAATAATCTTTCAAATTGTCAGAGGATATTTGACTTACACTCATATTCCCATCAGTGCACCATTACCAGAAGTTGAAGAGAACTTAATTTAGAACAAACAGTTGCTTGTTCCTATATTAACGCACATATGTAGACGGCAACAGCTAATAACAGTAACAGAGTTCATCACAGATCACAGCTATTTCCCAATATACGTAATTAATTATTTTGACCCATCTTTCATCAGAATAATTCTTCTATTCTGGTAATAGCTAGTAGTTTCACAAACCTTGAATGTGTAAAGTAACGGGCTCCTCTCTAGCTACAATTAACGTCGTTTGTACTTTTTATAGAACAACAGCATTATCTGGTGGCAGCATTGTGACACTGCAGAATGACAGATAAAACACCACATGCGGAAATTTCACATAGTCAAATCATTTATTCTTCAATGAATACATCTTATAGGTGTAGGGTTTTACTTGGATTTCAACTCTGCGTAAATTAAATGTATTTTATTTTAGCTTGATAATTTTAACTGTAATTTTTAATTTCTCTCTGTTTTTGTAGAAATGTAATAGTTCGTTAACTGTAATTTTTAATTTCTATCTGTTTTTGTAGAAATGTAATAGTTCGTTGACAAATGACAACAAAGCATTTGCTGTAAATAAATAATAGTTTGGGGACCAATTAAGTAAAATTCTGATCAGGACATTTCTGTGACAGCACCATGACAGCACTTGTGTACCACAGCAAAAATAACAACACCATACAAGGACTAGATAGTAGAACATTATTTATTTTTCTTACAAAAGGAAGTTAACATTCTTTCTTCTGCATCTGTTTAAATTTTATACTTCACAGATGGATGTACACAATACATGTTGGAAAAAACAACTGCATAAACAAAACAAACATGATAGAAAGCTCCTGGTTGTAGCACTAAGCTTAGTGCTAATTTTCATCAATAAAGGATGACTATAAACAAATATAATGTTTAAACATCATTTACAAATCTGTACAACTTTCAAAGCCACATGAAAAGTAACAGAACAACTCAGAATAAAACCTTCATTTATTAATGACCTCTCAACAGATTCAGCAACATTTTATATATAATATTGATATACTACAGACCTTTATTAATGTTTTTCCTCAGGGGAAAGCATTGAAATTAAATTGTCAATTATTGTTACTGTACCAATTTTTATATTTCCCACATCTCATGTATGTGCTTCTGAAAACAGTATTGATTATAGGTTACATTACCATGCAATTAAAAGGTTGCATATTAAAACATAAATAAAATCAATTTTAGGGTGTGGCTCAAACAAGGTGCTGCTTTATCATAGAACACTGTAGTGGAGTTATCCATAGAAGAACACCTTTAGTGTTGCTGTCATGTAATCACGTAGTTTGTATATTGGTCAATGTAAAATGATAGAGGTTGACATCAGTGATGTAGGGACAATAATGAACATTACTGAAGCTCCCATCAGGGGGATAACCAGTTGGACATCACTGGTGTCTACTTTCTTATTGGATTAGATTTAAATTAAACAGTGAACCAGTGTTACATGAATATGGAGCTCAGCCTTCAAATGTGTACTTGGCATTACCCATAGGCCAGGGAAGGGAAACTACATTCTCAGAAACAGTGGAAAAACACAAAATAACCTCATAATTAAAAAACAAAACAAAAACAACAACTTGTACTTCCCCTTTTAAATTGAGTTAGCAATGATCTCTATCTTGGGTGAATGTTTTAACTGAATGATTTATTGGGTGTACAACTCTTTCTCTGTATCTCTCTTTCACTCTTATACAAACTAAGTAAACAATGACAGTTTTTGGTCATCATGATGACATGCTTTGTGGTTATTTTACACAATTTCCTGTGAATAAAAAGAAAGATGCAGTACATGTGGGATTAAAGCTGGTTTCAATACGAACGTAGTAACGTGCAACCACAAGTTTGCTTAATGTTGATGCTGCTGTGATTCTTTGTTTATGCTGAAAGAGGTTCAAACATTATCATCCAAAAAAAATTTCAATGTAACATTCAGTCACCATTATGCTCAAGTTTTCTGTCAGTTCTGCTCATCAGATATTCAGATGAATCCAGGTAATGGTCAGCTCCATTGTCATTTGAGCAGAATCAGACTTATGTGTCTGACAAATGGCCCATCAGTTTGTCAGTCTGTGGTGGGTCACTGTCACCTAGTAATTCTGTCTCAGGCACCGAAAAGTTTTCGTTTTGGTCGGCCTCTGCCTGTGACGCTCTGTCAGCCAAGTCCTCACAGTTGGTTTTGGAGCTCTCACCTAACAAAGCCGCTCTCTCTGTTGCAGATGTGTTGGAGGGGGCGGTGGTGACATAGCCAGTAGATGTAGATCCACTGCCACTGTGGTGGGAACCTGCTTTGCTCACCATCTGTGGTTGATGGTGCATCTGCTGAGGTGGCATGGCCATGGGGATTTGCATTGGATAAAAGTTCTGCAGGTAGGGGTAGGCCTGCATTGGGTGGTATCCATTAACGGGAATGTAGATCTGTTGGGGAACCATGGGCCGAGGAATTTGACCCTTCATGGGCATGAACTGGGGCTGATGGAAGGGCGAGCCCTTTTTGGGACTTGCGTAACGTGAGGTGTTTGCTGTGCTCATGCTGATGTTGCTCATCGGGCTTGTACTGAGAGAGCTGGTCTGTGTGGTATTGCTTGTGCTAGACGTCTGAGCAGAGCTGTTGTAGTTGGACAGACTCTCCCAGGAGCGCAGGCGTGTGTGGATGTCCTTGAAGCGAGGTCGTCTTGCAGGGAACTCGCTCCAACACTCCAGCATCAGGGTGTAAATCCACGCTGGGCAGTCATCTGGACAAGGAAGCAACTGGTGGTTGCGGACCATCTCAATGACATCCTGGTTGGAGTATCCACAATAGGGCTGCAGACCATAACTAAATGTCTCCCACAGCAGGACGCCATAAGACCAGATGTCGGAGTCTGTGGAGAACTTGCCATACATTATTGCCTCTGGGGACATCCAACGTATTGGAAAAAGACTTGTTCCCATTAGATTGTAGTAGTCAGCAGAGTAGACATCTCTGAGCAGCCCCAGATCCAGGATCTTGATGGTGAGTTTATCAAAGACTACAATGTTTCGAGCAGCAAGGTCTTTGTGGATTACTTGCTGGCTGGAAAGATACTCCATTCCAGCAGCAATCTGTGTGATAACATGGAGAAAGTCAGCCTGCTCCAAAGTGGACTTCACTGTTTTGTCATCATCTGAGCTGCTGACGTCTGAGTTGGGGGAGCGCATCACCAAATACTCATGCAGGTCCCCAAGGCTGGAATAGGAAAATATCATGCTCGTTGGCTGCTCTCTGTTGACTATGCCCAGCAAACAAACTACATGTTGATGCTGAATCTGAAAGCGGAGCATGGCTTCATGGCGGAACTCTTCACAGAGAGTAGGTTCAACTTTGTCTTTCAATGTCTTAATGGCGACCACCTGGGTCTGCTCACCAGGTGTGGTGCCAAACATCTGGCCCTTGTAAACTTTGCCAAAGCGATCCTCACCGAGCTCCTCCATGAACCGTACTAATGACATGTTGATCTCTCGCAGCTTGGCCTGTAGGGTTAAAGCAATAAACAGAGATATTGTCAAAAAAGTCCAGTGTGTCCTCTCCTTGGGTTAAGCTTTTAATTTGCTAGCCCTTTGTGCTACTTTGAAGTCCTTATGTATAGCATTACTACCAAAGGAGATTCCGAAGAACTCTACCAAATCTGCAAATACAAGCTTACATTTGTAAGCCTCTGATTGGTCTGCCTGACAACCACCATTCATTCTTAATGAAACAAGCCATCATTAGTGAGTGTTTTCTTGTGTATGTACCTGGTGTTTTTGCTGGTTGAGAAGAGACAGCTCCACATCCTGGTTAGGTGGGCTGCTAATCTGGCAGCGAGGTGGTGTATCACTTGTAGCCTTTTGCTTATTACGACACATACACACCAAAAAGAAGAGGCAGGCAACAATCAATGGGATGGTGATGGCAGGAATTAAAATGAGCAGGATCTCCTTCCTGGTGTTCTCTGGAGGCTCTGAAAACAATCCAAATGGGAGTGAGAAACTGGTCCTACTGTTATTGGTCTGGCAATTACTATTACATATACAATTACTACTACTACTACTGGGGGCTCTCCAAGGTCTAGTGCTTGGGTTCTTATTTGCTTGATATGTGCTACCAATAGGAAATACAATCAGAAATCAATATAATATTATCATTACATGTTTTAATCACTGAGTCAAATAATAATAATATTAATATAATATATTTATGTGTTAGCACCAAAATTAATGGAAACTACAGTACAGTTTTTTTGTACTACTTACTGCACGGATGGATGTCACAGAGGTCCACTCTGACCTGAGGGTCCAGTGTGAAGCACCAGGGCGCCTCCATCTGGCCTCCTGGGTTCCGGCAGAAATTGTGACTCCCCCAGAGCTCAGGGTATTCCTGGGACAAGCGATGACTATGAGGGTATTGAGCGCTCCATGGCTGACAGTGATGACCTGATTTGGTGATGCTAATTGTGCCCCTGTAGTCAGCTCCACTTCCATTGTAGCATGTCTGGTCTGAGGGAGAGTCTGTAAGACAGACAGTCTCTGTCAGTCTACAAATCATGAGTTGATGTGTTTTGAATATCTGGCCATTGACTCTGGTGATAATTATATGAAGCCTGGTTCACTGCGGAGGTACACACCCCTGTGTGTCTCTTCAGTTGTTTGTGATGGGGGGCTGGTTGCCCCCCATCGCATAACTACAATTGGGCCTACTGCCCCCTGTGTTGTTCCATTTCCTTTCATATTTTACATGAATTGAACATTTGGAGGTATGAGTGAGCTTGTGTATACCTACATGAACCCAGTTTTTCTGGTGGCACGCCGATCCTCATGCAGGACATGGCGTCACGTGTGCCTGGCCGTGGCAGCAGGTGGCAGCTAGGGAGCTTCAGCTGCATGAGAATCATGGGATTGGATCGAGCAATGGTGTATTCAGCGTGGCACAGGTCATTTTCCAGGGCCTCACACTCGTCTCCACAGAGCTGTCGGCGCCGTGGGGCCTGAGAGCTCTCATCACACAGAGGGAAGACAAAGTAGCAGAAGGATGGGATGGCAAACTTGGAGCACTGGTCCGACAAGTGGGTGGAGGTGCCGATCATTGTAAAAGCCGCTGAAAGAAGAAGAGGAAAATAGTTTTATATCTTGGACCAGAATGAAATCGTAAAATCATAACTAATTATACCATCTTATAAAGTAAAAAGACAATAAAGCTGCAGTTTCATTTAGATTTTACACAGAAAATGTAAGCAGTTTAAGTAAGTAAAGAAAACTAACAAAAGTAACATAACTAACTAAAAGTAAGTAACTAAACAGTGTACAAACATTTAAAGCTAAAGTTCACAAAACAGAAATTAATTCCAGGGAGTGATTGTTGGTACTGTGAACAGCAGCAAGTTGCCTTTTTCTTTCTGTTGCAAATGATCAAAACATTCTCTACATAAAATATTTACTATTTTAGAATAAATCCAGAAGGTGGCACTATTGTAATTGTCACAGGATCACAAGACGTCAACGCTGTTAAACTTCAAAGAAGACGTCAGTCAGAGCATGTCAACAGGTTTAGCTTGGCCTAGCATTGGTCAGGACTCAGTGTGCAAACAACTGCATGCTTTATATCTTTAGGTGTGTGTATTTCTTTTATAAATTTAGCGTGCCTCAACGTAATTATTAATACTATGAGTCGTGACTGTTTTGAAGGAACACAGCACTGGAACTTTGAAAATGTGTTGCTATCGCTCTTTGTCAGTCGCAGTAGAATTTTGTGTATTATAGCAGCATCACGACAGTAGGGGGAGACAGTGATCCAGATATGTTTAACCCGAGTCCTCGCTCTCTCATCCAGGCCCTGCTCTTAATTAAGCCAGAAAACAAAGCCACCATGTTGTATTTACCCAAGGCAGCAGTTGGCTCCACCCACCGATAGCCACATTTCCAAAGAACAGAGAAAGAGATCACTTTTACATTTGTAAAGGAAAATGTTTATTTGATGATCGTTGAACTAACAGCTCTTCTAGACACATAATAATTTGAGCTTTAATAAAATCTTAGTGGAAAGCAGTAAAAAAAAGTGCTCATTCTTAGATGACGTAAACAGTAACAACTTATTCTCTGAGGGCAGTGTACATGTACAATATTGTCCAACTTATTTTCAAACACATGGCATTATATTAAAAACAGTCCCTATTGTTTAACCTACAGCTGGTCTCTGCAGGTCATGTAATCCACAGCTAGCATCCTCACCTGTGATGCGGTTTTCACTCTCCCCCTGCGTCTGCAGTGATTCAACATAAATACTCTGGTTGCCAATAAATCTGGCACAGGCAATTCCTCTGTAGGGCTGACAGAAACCTTTTTCCCGTGTCCTGAAAAAATAGACAGTAGAGAAACAACTGTTGTTTAAAGTGTTATTGATGAACAGCAGATGACGCGGCTGGTTATTTTTCTGTGTTTTGTGACTTTAACTTGTCTCACTCCTGGCTTTATGGACGATGACCACCATATGTTGTTACATTTAGTAACATTACATGTTAGTACTTAATGTTTTTAAATGTAAGATGAGCAGCAAATCACCAAATGCCAACATGAAGCCAAATCATGCTCTTTTCAGAGGCAAAACAATCTAAGGAGAAGACAGTGGAAGACCAAATATATCTGCTTATGATTTAATTCATTGTTAAAAATAAAATATGAATAAATAAAGTACTCAGTACAGAGCTCAGTTTAAAGGTAGATCTAGAATAATTAAACCTATACATATTTTCAGTGATTTTAAGCAAATTAAAACTTTTTTTAGATTGTTTTTTTTAGAAGATTTTTTAGATTTTAGATAGATTTAGATTTGTTCCCCCTAAATGTACCTATACTGGGTTTCTAAAATTATATATAAATGTACCTATACTGGGTTTCTAAAACAGTAAACTCAACATGCCATTAATGAGTAACAAAAAAGATGCTACACGTATCTCAAATTTGGAAAGAAATCTAAATCTATTAGTTTAAGAGCCTCTAATGTGACTCATATCTGCTTGTTGAGGGCTACAAGGCAGTGCTTTTGTTTCATTTTTCTATACTTGTGCTGGTTAATCCCAAACTCAGGTCACTGAGGTGTTTTGTTTGTGATGGAATCAAAATTTCCCAGGTGTAGCTAAAACCCTAATCCACAAAGCAAAGAGGATAAGCCCAAAGCAAAGACAGTACACAGAGTAAACATCTGCACGTCGACTACCATCAGGGATCCACTCACAGCTGTCTGAGTGGGAACTGTGAGGAGGTTCCTGCTGCATTTAACAGTTTTGTCTGCTCTGTATGGTTCCCTGTTGGCAGTGTGACAGAAACTGACAATAACTTCCAACGTTGCCTTCCAAACTAATGTTTCTAGATTTTACACAAGGGTTTGGGGCAATGCAGGATTAGGTGAAATGCCCTACACTGTCACCATACACTACCATAGTGTAGGACTGAGTGAGTATATTCCTCCCCAGAGTTATGTCTTGGCATAGGCCACAATTATAATGGGGTGATAAAGGAGCCGACAACGGTTGAACCTTGGACGTAAAATGCCTAAAGCTGACTCTACCCCTCCCTCACCAGAAGACAGCTATGGTTGGGCCACAAGCCAAGTCAATGATCAGTACAATGACAACGACTTGTAAAGCTGATTAGGTGTCTAGGATGGAAATTGCATTTACTTCCGAAAAATGATTTCACTAAAGAACAGGAAGAAGGACCAACAGTGTAAACTACAGACAGAGTCTTTTCAGCTCTTCTAAAGTGCAGGTATAAGACATTAGCAGAGTCATAATGTTAAATGGTGAGGTAAAAAGGTTGGTCAGATCTGAGTCATAGCTGAGGACATGAACCAACATTCCTTCTGGATCACAGAATACTGAAACTAAACCACAGGCTGATTTCTGTCTGCAGCCGAAGGAATTCATGTCCAGCCTCATCCCGCTGAGTCAAACAAACATGACGGAGAGGAGAAGGGACTACGTGCCCTGCTACCCTCATCTTCATCACTCAGCTGTATCAGTCAGTGTGGGCCTACATTTCTAACCCTCAGTCAAGGAGATGCAGCCGACGTTGTCTGTTGCCCACATGTCTGTACGTGTTCATTTTCGCTCCAGGCAGCAACTTCTGTCGCCACAGACAGATACAGCTGCTCCTCTGAGGATATTCATGATATACACATAGTACTTATGGACCACCCTCTAATCCACTCATACTGCAGCAAACCTCCAGCCTGTTGGTTTAGATGATGTCATCACTGAACACACTTTAAATGGATATGTGGTAGCAGGGTAGGAGGTAGGGGCTTTTTTGCCCCCGAGAACTGTCACGTTCTATTTTTGACTGTTTTCTCTTTCCAAACCAAAGGCCAGTACCAGCTGTTCTCCTGTCTATTACATCCAAGAGTGGTTAAATAAAAACCTGGGTCTCTTTATTGATAAGCGCTTCTTTCATTTGCTAAGAAACAAAACCTGTGCTGATTTGACGGTTCTGCACCGATGCTGTATTTCTGTACGTTTATTATATGTCTTGAGGCTTTGACAACAGATTTTGGTTTTACTTTGACTGAAATCTATTGGATTTCCTTTAAAATCTAAACCTATTTATTTATATTTATTACTGTTCCTTTTTCACATACTTTTCAGGCGTACTTATTTATCAGAGTCATGCATGAATACTTATACGAAGATGGTTAACTGTTGTTAATGTCCTAATTTATGTCCTAAATTAATGTCCTAATTTATACCATGGACATCAGCGTATGTCCTAATTTATACCATGGACATCAGTAAATCCATATTTGCAGTTCGTATCTAGTAATAAATACTGCCCCCTGTTGAGTTGTAGACTGAACAACATGGGATAATGTGGTGGACATCAAACGCTTATCTTTCCTTTAAGCCACCGTGTGGGTGCAGCAGGGAGGAGACAGTGTTTACTACATTCATACATGTAACTCAAGCGCTGATGGAACATTGACTGTGACCTTTGCATGACCTCTGGGCATCCTAGATGATACACACACTGTGGTCTGGAACCACTGGTTGTTTAAGCTTTGTATAATCAAGCCTACGACAAGTGTAAACAAGACATTAATCACAGAGGTGGTTCAACAAAGTGGGGGGTGGGGGAGTCGGAGACACCAATGTCTAAACTTGGTAATGTGGGAGAGTGGGGAGAGTACAAGCATGGAAAAAGGATTCATATCAAATTAAAGTGTTTAGTTTAGACTTGTTTAGTATTATTTAATATAACTGTCTAGAAAATAACAAAACCTAGTACTGTGCAACCTTTAGATTAGACTTAGCTTTAAATTAAAGGTATGCTGCAAAATGCTGGATTCTTTGTGGTTCTATAGTAAAGCGGTTAGCACGCCTTCCTTGCAAGCTCAGTCCTGGGTTTGATTCCCAGAGGAACCACATACTGACATACTGTCAGATATAACCTATTTTTGAAACTAAATATAATTAATTTGCGTAATAAATACTGAAGTGCACCTGAATGAAACTAAAGTAGAAAACTGCTCTCTAATTAATTAATTAACCTAAGGAGCTCACTTACGGTTTGTCGGGGCTGTGCGTGGGCACCTGACCTGTGGAGACAAGAAAAACAAACCAGAATAATCAAAATTAGAAATAGTAGTATCACACATAAAAATGCAGTATTTTAAAACTACTGCAAAATAATCAAAATTAGAAAAAAATGCAGTATTTTAAAACTACTGCATTTTAAACTTATAATACAACATAATATAACACAGTGACTGACTCGTAGAAACAGTAGTAGATCAAACACTGGTTACCATGGAGATGAAAAGTCAGCATAATGTTAACATAAAGCCCACCTAGTTTGACATAGAGGACACCTGTGGCCGTGATGGTCTTCAGTGAGTTGGTGGCAACACACTGATAGTAGCCGGTGTCCGTGGTGTCCAGGTTCTGGATTTTGAGCTTGGATCCCGTCTCTGTCTTACGGATGGTTATCCGTCCCTGCTCCTGGACCACAGGGGCATCGTTTTTCAGCCAGCGGGTGGAGGGCCGGGGGTTTCCTGCTACCTTGCAGTGCAGAGTTGCTGTCTGGCCCTGGAAGTGGGTGATGTTGTTGACTGGCTCTTGGAACTCTAGGAAATAACCTTAAGAGGACAGACACTTGGTTTGAGTCTTGAGGAAAATAAGGTTATAAAGGTTGGTCTGTAGTCCAGACACAGGCTGGACTGTAGAAAATGGACTTGAACTAAATTCTGTCAATTTGACATTAAATGACTGAAGTGAGCCATTCTGTGCTTCATTGGTTAAAATAATTTGAATTGAAGAAGGAATATAAACACTTGGTTCTAACCAGTGATGTAACTCTGGGACTGAAGCTTCACCTCCTCATTACAGGGTCCGACAGTAGCTCACTATGTAGGGAGGACACACACTTTAAAGCCACAGATGACATTTTATTTTAAGTCATTTCTGGGGCCACGTAGATTTCTACGAACAATAGTTTCACTTGAAAAATGAACTCTTATTTTCTTTAAAACACAAGTATATGTTTATGGCAAAAAGGCTCAACTAATATGTAAAAAAAAGTACCTCATATGTTACATACTACACAAGTACCAAGTTTAACTCCAAAGTTGAAGTCAAAAGTTTTAAGACAGATTTGAAATGTTTTGTATTTATTATTTATTAAAAAATAAATACAGTTATTTCTCTACAATCCTTAATTTTTTTTAATGTATGTCTAAACTCCTGTGCTGTGGTGTTTCCAACAGTGAATTCCTGGTGTTTGTCACCAGCTCCGTTGTCTTAGATCTTATTTCAGTTTTGGAAAGAAAAGTTTCCATTCACGTTTGGCATCATTTGGATTTTTGTTCCAGTTTTAAAATTGTTCATTTCTGAAGGGTTTAAAAACCAGAATAAATCAAATGTTTCAGACTTGACAAAGACATGATGATAAAAGTCGACAAAGCTGTTGGAGAGGCACGACAGACCAGTCTGGACAGGTTTTATTAAACTAAATGAAAAATAACAATTAGAGAAACTGCAGTGGATGATTCATCAACTAAATAAAAGTAATTATGAGCTTCTCTCTCAGTGTCAGTGTCAGTGTCAGTGTCAGTGTCAGTGCTCCATTTCCCCACCCTGGTATTAAACAGACCACATCGTAGCTTTAGCCGTTTAACTATTACAGCCACTGTAGACTGGGGCCAGGCGGCTTCATACACCAGAAAGCTCAGCCATTATTAAAAGATCTGTTTTAAATCATGAGGGAACTCTATGTTACCACTGAGAGGTCGGACTGTTTCCACTCACATTGACCGACACACACTCCTTTATGTGTGTGTGTGTGTGTGTGACTGTTGGAGACCTTTATGATTATATCCTGGTGAATACCAAGTTACGGTCACTCATCCTCTTTTTCACCACGGTGGGAGTTTTTTTTAAACACTGTCTGTTCATATGTAAGACTCTGCCCTAGGAGTCCAAACCCAGGGCTCCCGGTGCCTGCCCAGCCCCCTAAGTAGTGAGGCAGACACACTGAAGGGGATCCTAGACCCCCTAGGACCAGCCTGGGGCAGGATGAGCCCGAATCCACGTCACCCCCGCCCCCCATACACACATCACCACAGGGACATTCCCTCCACCCAGTGCAGAGCAAACCTCCTAGTTCTCATTCCCACCTCCCTCCCCCAACATCCCTAACGATTCAGCCCTACTCCCCCCGGACCTACGACTGTGAAGGGGCCGACCTCTGACCTGTACCACAGCTTTCTCCCTCAGGGCATGTGTAACACCTCTGCCCCGAGTGTTAGCAGTGACTCGGTTGCTTGAGATGACGATGTGTGTTTTAGGGCAGATGTAGTGTTAACCAACAACTGACAACAGGGGAGAGTAAGAAAGTACCAGCACCGATGGGGGACAGCATTAACATGAAGTCTGTATGTTGGTCTTTTATTGGAAAGGAGACGAGGACGTAACCTAGGAATGACCAAATGAACTCCTGTGAGTGTGTCTGATAGGACAGTAGGTGGAAAGGAGGTTTTTACCAATGATGTTACAACAATTGGAGTGGATGTTAAAGTACTACACTAAAAAAACGAACTAATATCGAGGCAGATGGGATAAAACAGTCCTTTGTTCCTTTTTTCCTAAACGTTGTGTTTCTGTTATGTTTTAAATTCACAACAGCTGCAAAGAAACAGTGTGTTAAAAAGTCAGGAGACGTTAATGTCTTGCCTTCAGCTGTGGGCACTGCACCACTCTGGGCCTCCGCCACAACATCTGGATCCGAGGACACACCTGGATCAGCTGCACAGAGAACAGAACACAAGTGTCAGCAACAGCAACAGCAATACACAGGAAACACAACTGCACAACACTGAACTCTCCAAAACCTGTAAAACATCATGTACGGCATGTGTCGTAATTATAACTACACACACACACACACACACACACACACAAAATACAGGCAAACACAAAAGCAAACCATCAAATTAGTGAGTGTTGGTAAATCTGTTGTAACCAAAACATCAAACAAATAACTATGATGAAAAGTACGAGCTCAGGGAGTGTAAACAGGTGATGAAATACTTCACCAAATGAACAGCTTTTTATTATTTCACTTCATGTCCTTCGTCATGTCCTGCTCAAGCCTTTTCAGGGGCTCGAGGTGTTCAGGGAAGTTGGGTTACACAATAAATATTCACTCAAATTCACACCTGTGGTCAGTTTAGAGTGAATAATTAACTTAATCCCCAATCTGAATGTTTTATGGCTCTACAACAGAGGTGTCAAACCCCCGGCCCAGGGACCACCTCCAGCCCACGAACCCCTCACATGTAGCCCCTGACTAGATGCAAAAAATTATTTTGCCTTTGAAATTATTTTTCAATTTTAATTTTTGTCAATTAAAATGCTTAATTTGGACATTTAAAAATTAGACTGTTGATCTGATTGAACAACTAACTGTGACGTGGCCTTCTAAGGAAATGACCCTGGCTCATTTGAGTTGGAGACCCCTGCCCTAGAAGACTGATGAAGTAATAAAACTCCACTATAGAAGCAGGGATCGAACCATTGATATTCTTACTGTAAGGCAAGAACACTAACCCCTCATTTCTCTATATGTTCTCTATAAAAGTGTACCTTTTTTAATTCAATTCGATCTGTGTTTTCATTTCAACATTTGATCCACAGGCTGCTGGAAATGAATGGCTCTGCTCTTCTTGGATTCTATTTATGATCAGGCACATTTGAGCTGACAAGATTTATGGTCTGGTTATTAGCTTAGCCTAACTAAGTATTGGCTTATGATAGAGAGCATGTGGTCTACAGCTGTGGAAGCTCATGAAAACTGCTTTTTAACCACTGCAGTGAGTAAAACATACAGCATTCCATTCAGTAGCTCCACTTCCTTCTGGACTACGTTTGATTTACTCCATTTGCAGATGTGTGCAGGGTTTTCTTCAGTTTTAACAGAAAGAGAAAAAAAAAACGCTGTTAGCATGTGTTTCTTTGATGAAGACAATGATAGACCTTGAGTGACTGAAGGCATTCTACCACTAGGTGTTGGAGAGGGGGCAGGACTTCAGAGGGGGCATGGCATCTGTTGAGTTGAGGATCAAGACTTGATGTTGGATGAAGTTATGAAGCTGCAGTTGCAAATGTAGGTTGTATTATATTTGGTATTTGGTTTATTATTTTTCATACTACATAACTGCAATATATATAAACAGAAAAATTGACTGACAAAATGTTTATTAAAGTTCACAGATGTCAACTCACTTGACTTGTCAGTGTGGAATAATTAAGATAAGAGACTGTGATTCAGCCAGGACAACCAGCCCAGTTAGACCACATGTAGCCCCGCAACGTATGTGACCAGGCTGATAGGACTCTTCTTTTCCATCTGGAGCTGGGTGAGTCGGTTGGCTCCTACATTCCAGCAGCCCTCGCCTCCCACTATGAAAGAGCTCTTTGAGAATCTACAGGCCAAGCCACAGCTCCATCTACTGGAGTCTTGACTGCAGGCCTTCTGGCACATCTCAACTGTTTCCTAGCCTCTCTGTTAAAAGTGCTGGCCCTCGCCCTCTCTCTCCTTTTCTGTCTCAGTCTTCTATCCATTGTCAGTGTTACTCTCCACCCACTACAGTCTCCACTTTCATTTTCGATAAAGTGACAAAATTGAATCGTAGACAAAGAAATCGCGAATTACGTTGTATCGTATTACCTACCTATTTACCCTTATCACACTTTACCACTGTCTCAGTCTCGGTCAAACAAATGCAGCTGTTAGCAGCTGTTAGCTCTGGAGCTGGATCACAGCTTATCAGTCCCAGTCACTTTGACTGGTTTTTAAATGTGTTCAGTAGTTGGTAGTGTTGTTCATGTGCCGTACAACTCTGAGCTGACTGACTCTCCTGACTCAACCATTGACAGTTCATTAATCTGTCCTCACTCTGTCTCGCTCGCTCTCTCTCACTGGAGACTTGAAAGCAACTGTGTCAAACTCAAGGCCGGGGGCCAAATAGGGCCCGCCAAGCCGTTTTGTGTGGCCCGTGGGAGCTAAAAAAGCCTTTAGTAAAGTCCGTACAGCCTCCATCCATCATCTTTTATTACACAGCAATGAACAATAGTTGTAGCTTGAATAAATAAAAATCAATTGCAGAAACGTGTATGAGTCTGTTACGGAGTAGCTACATCTATACCAGTGGTCCCCAAACTTTTCTGTTCCAAGGACTGGTCAGCTGGTACCACCCGTTACTATAGAAGCAAGTAGCAAAGTGCTGAGCATTGAAGGATCATTCAATTCTCAAAATAAAACCTGTGTCCCAGTACCAAATGACCTATGGACTGGTACTGGTCCACGGACCGGGGGTTGGGGGACCCCTGATCTATACAGTCTTCCATTTCCAACCGGCCCTTCATGTTTTGCTGATGTGGCCCTCAGTGAAAATGAGTTTGACACCCTGATCTAGACGTTCTACCTAATGAGTACGAAATTTACGATTTTGAGTTTTTTGTGGCAAAATTACACACAAACAACACGATAGGAACTTGGTTGAGTTTCAGTGTCGGTGGAGGAACATGGTTCTATGGCCAGTGCTGGTATTGTTTGTTCTGTTTGGAGGCAGCGTGTGGGATGACCTACCCACCACCAGGAGGACGTGTTTTTCGCAAAAACAAAAAAGTTTTCTGCAAACAATAGTCCTAAACTAAATTGTATTTTAGTTAAAATAACAATAAAGTTTGTAAAGACAGAAACACTTAACAACAGTGAGTTAGCTGAAGAAAAAATGCCTGTGATAAGTGACGTGAGAGATAAGAAGGAGATGCATTCCTACCAAATCACTGATGGTCAATAAAGACAACAGAGGAACAGAGAGTTTCTGGTGATAGTCAATAAAGACAACAGAGGAACAGAGAGTTTCTGCCACAGGGAGCGAGAAGTCAGTGAGTGAACACGACCTGTTTTTCCAGGCTTGAAAAGAGCTATTATTAATTTGATTGCCTTCTTCTTCACATCATGCACTTTTTTCCCACAGAGGATCAACTTTTAAAATGATAAACCTCTCATACACCGGACTAATTAGTACAGAAACACATGAAACCAAGAACCTCCAGTCAGACTGTGTCTAAAACTCTTGTCAACTTTCTTCTTAGTAATAATGTTATGTAAAGATAACTTCTATTGAATGTCTGCTTTTTAACATTTTAACCAAAACAGCACCCGTGAAAAGAGCAAGTTTCAAGATTAATAATAATAACAATGATAATAATAATAACAATGATAATAATAATAATAACAATGATAATAATAATAACAATGATGATAATAGTAATATTAACAATAATAATACAAAGTTTAAATACATAAACTCTCAATAATCTGTACCCCTTAGTTCTGTTATGTTATGGCTAAATATAAGTGTGTGTGTGTGTGTGTGTGAATCATTACCAATTCTGCAGCATTTGTCTTTTTATTGATCTTGAATGGACTAAAACTCCTGTCTCGACATCCTAAAAACTTTGGAACTACTGCCAGTTGAAATGAAGATGAAACAAATTCCAAAGTCTTTTCAGACTTTTTAAGGATCTCCTTGAACTCTGTGAATGGTGGTCTGCCTTTCATTAGACCCAGAATCTGCCTCCATTCACTGTATTAGCCTTTAACATAACCGTCAGCACAATGAACAACAGCGCCCCTGTTGGTCCGACACTCGATCGGCTGCACTTTAGATCCATGCATACATTACTTTAATGTGAGAGCAAGTGGAGATGCCCACATCCACTCTCTGGTCACAACAGGTCAAGTCCTGGTCAACCTCCGTCTCCTCAACATCCACCTCTCTGCACACTGTGTCCCTCTGTCCTCCACAGCCTGAGACAGGTCTCAGTTTTCTGCTGTGGGACTTAGTCTCACCTTCCTCGTTTACAGAGATAAGTGCTGCCTCAGGAGGAAAAAAAACCCAAAACGTTTTATTTCTACTCTTTTATTTTCTCCTGTCCAGATGATGAACTATCTCTATTTTACTGTCAATATTTATACTATTTGACTATATACTCTCTCTCTCTCTATATATATCTATCTATATATTTATAGATATATATGCAAATATATATCATCTATATACAAATATATCTACTTTAACGTGGTATCGTTACAGGCGTTGCTAGCTAGATTGCTGACATTTTCTGTTTCTATATTTATTCAACGAGCTCGATCAGATTAGCACAGCAATTTCAGCTTATTTTTTATGGAAACGTGGTCAAACATAAGGGTCACAGCAACTGGGCGTCTGAGCTTGTTCATGGTCAGTGGTCATATGGCAGGGAAAAGGGTTACAGTGTCAGGACTGGAAAATATATTTCAGAATACTATGACTGTTAATCTGGTGTATTGCGCAATATGTAGTTGTGAAGCTGAAGAAGGAGTCCACAACAGTGTCCTCCATCACAGGTTATTATGGGTTGGATTTATTTATTCCATTAGGACTAGAGCTGTGACTTGGCTTTGATTGAAAATGAGTGGCCTTTAGCAGCTCACATGTTAAATCCGAGTCACATCTGTGACAAACAAAAACAGCCTTGTTTTGGTTCTGCGTTGAATATAAAAAAAAAATGTCTTCAAAAATTCTGTTATGTGAGATGAACGATGGGGAAAAAAAAGCAGTCTCTCTGCATGAGAAAAATACAACACATTTTTGTCTTAATCTTCAGGAACATTACATGTGGTTTAGAATACATGTGGTTGCATTCTTTTACCATACTTCCCCAGGACGCACTAACCACCGTGTGTGTTTTCA